TTACACTTTATTAGTAAAAAGTGAATTTTTGTTTAAATCTCTGTTACTTTATTCTTTATTTTACTTTCAAAATAAACGGTCAAAAAATACTTTCCTATTAATTATAACGTCAAGATATTAATTATTCATACATCAATATGTTTTATAGTTAAAAAATAAATGTAATTCATTAAACAAAAACTAATATAATTTAAAAAAAAACATGATATAAATTTGTCAATTATTAAATACTCTTTAATGGTTTCTTTCTAGCTTTTTCATTCGCAAAGTCTTCAATAACATTTTCATAATCTAAACTTAATAGTAGTTCATGTTTAATACTCATTAAAGATAGGGAGTTTAACCGTTTCTGGCTCATTGTACTTCTAAGCTCTTCTTTAATTAAATTTAACTTAGAAAATGAACGTTCCCCACTGCAGTTGGTAATCATCATTGATAAAAAAATTCGGAAAGATATTATTATGTTTGGAAATGTTTCTTCTAGTCTATTTGATTTTAAACATTTGTATGTACTAGAAATACTGAATTCAGAAATATCAAGTTCCAATAGATACGCTTTTAAGTGTATACATTCTAAAATTAATTCATTTTCATTAATATCTACGTGATAAAATTCCGCAAATGTTTTACAATGGACTTGTACTTCTTTTGTCTCTAAATTTTTTAAATTAGAGAAAAATCCAAACAGTTTATTTATTGATTTGTATGATTTACCACGAATTTTTAACTGAGTTATTAATGTATCTATTATTGGGAAGTAAGTTTCTATTTTGAATTTTTCACTACCTGAAAACGATGTACTTTTGTTTGTCAGTTCACCGGGTAATGTTAAATGAATACTCCTCTTCTTAGTTCGTTGGTGTAAATCTTTATAGTCAGAATCTGGAAATTTTTCTCTAGCGGAACTTTTATAACTATAAAAGTTATCTCTAATCTCACTTAGAAAACCAGCAAGAGAATCAAATAATTTTGAACCGATGTCAATAGTAAGGTTTTCTTTTTGTAAATTTTTGTTTGTTTCATTTATTCTTGATAAGATTTTACTCCAAATTTCAGTAAGAACAATATTTTCCAACTTTTTCATTTTCTTAATTAAGCCATGGGTTTCGTTTTTAACATTTGGTGAAGTCTTATCATCTATTTCAATTGTTTTTAGAGCATCTAAAATTTCCTTGTAACCATTACACAAAGCAGTAACAGCATCAGCTCGAGCAGACCATCTAGTTTCTGATAGTGACTTTAAAACATGATGTGAGCTTAGGCACTTTTTCATGATACTCCAACGATAGGTAGAACTCGAAAAAAAATTATACAATTTTTGTACAAATTGAAAATAACTTACTGCTTCCATAACACATTCTGCTGCACGAACCCCTACCAAGTTCAAAGAATGAGCTGCACATGGAATAAAAATAGCAAAATTACACTTTTCTTTTATTCTAGCTTGTAGACCAGCATATTGTCCTGACATATTTGCAGCATTGTCATACAACTGGCCACGACAGTTATTCAAACTAATCTGATTTTTTTCAAGAAAAGATAAAATAACTTTAAATAAATACTCAGATCCATGTTCATCAATAGGAATAAATTCCAAAAAACGTTCAACTGGAGTATCATCATTAACATACCGAATAATGAATGTCATTTGATCAATATGAGAAAGATCAGGAGTGGAATCAACACTAATTGAATAATATTTAGCCACTTTTAATTCCGAAAGAATTGCATTTAGCACTTTTCTCCCCATTATGTTAATAAATTCATTACAAATATTAGCTGACAAATATGAAGGATTCCTTTGCCTTGATTTCCATATTTATTTAAATGTTCTAAAAGAAATGGATCAAATTGGCTTATTAACTCTAAACAGCCCAAATAGTTCCCATTGTGTTGAGATCCAATTATTTGATTTTCTCCGCGAAACGCAATTCCTCGTGACGACAAAAATTTTATTACAGCAACAATTCTCTTTAATACTTCTTTCCAATAATTTACTTCTAAGTTATTTGATAAGATATTTCTTGATCTATGCGACCATTATTTTTGGTCCTAACAGAAAAAGTCATGATAGATTCTCTGTGCATTAAGCTATTTTCATGCTCCAAGACAACCGTATGAACATGTTTCCAGTCATTAAATCCTTGTTCACAACTAAATCCAGTTTTTGTAGAAGAAAAGAGACGACATACAAAACAAAACAAAGCTTTTTTCGAGGGAGAATATAAAAGTCACGATCTATCGACATTTTCACCATTTTTTAGTTGACGAGTGAATATTGACTTGGTTAAGTGTCTCACTTTAATTTTACCATTTGATTCTGTATAATTTCGTGTGGAATTTAAAAAGTCACTATCTTTATTTTGAAAAAATTTGGAACCTTTTTTAATATTCATATTTCGTTTTTCCTCAGTTACTGTATTCCAATTTCCGGGATCATTTGATACTAATGAATTGTCCTCAACTGTTTCTGGAGAATCAACGAAATATTTATTAGGGCTTAAAGTAGGATTTTGAGATACTTGTGATTGTTGGTTAATTGTTATCGTTTCTTGGGATATTGGTAAAACTAAATTAGTTTCTTCTTTGGGAGGAACAGAAGAAAAAAAATCTGTAAGCTTAGGTAAAGAATTTATGATTTTTTTTTCGTTGATTTCTTTTACGATTGCTCCCTGCCTCTTTGAAGCACCACTAGGATATGAACGCTTTGACATTTTGAAATGACAATATTTTTGTCGATAGTTAGAACATCTGGAAAAAATACAGTCGTCTTCTACAAATATTCGATTCTGCTCTATCAATTTTAAACAGTAACTACTAGACCTACATGACTACGTCATATGACAAATTAAATACCTATTTTATAATAATACTAAGGAAACAGTTTGTATCAAATTCGCAACATTTTTAATAAATTAAATAATAATTTTAAATAAACTCTCGTCTTGAGCGTATCTATGATTTAGATAAAATAATAGGTACACAGGAACTGAATACGATTCACGGTCGGCAAATTGTCAATCACTGGTGATGTAGAAATAATAGAAAGAAAAACAATCGTTAAAAACCTAATATTTTTCACATAAACAGATTTAATTATTGAGGTTCAGCACCTCCATTTCGACAATCATTCTTACACAGTTACACATTGATTATTTTCTTCGTCATAAACGCATAATTAAGAACCGTTCTTAAATTGTTATTTTCTATTTAGTTGAGTGTGTAATTTATTAATTTATAATTATAATAATAAAGAAAATAATAAATATTAAGGTTAGTGTAAAGTTTACTTACGTAAGACTAATTTTTTTTGAATTAAAAATTAAACGCACACGAGCCAAAATGTAGATATTTATGTGGATTATCCGATTATATGTGTGTGTAATGTTCTATGAACTGCAGCTGTACAGTCAACAATGACGATTGACGACGGCGTCGAGCCGTCGACGCTACAACTTATAAGATAAGATATTTCATATTATTTTATAAATAGCACTCGCAATACTTCTATGTGCTTCTACGTAAAACAAATCGAAATAACCGATAACATAGCGCACGTAAAAATAATGTACGTGTAATGTGGACCAGAAATAACAATAAAATTTAGAAATTAATCAAATTGTATTATTTTGATACAAAGCTAATTTAAATATTTTTTCGTTAGAGATTTATATTAAAAACATTCAAAAAAATGTAAAATTATGATATTCGGTAAATAATGTAATCTATGTGAATTTGGGACCCTTAAAATTTCGGGGCCCCGGGCCCGGGCCCTACGGGCCTATGCCTTAAGACGGCATTGGACTTGTAACAACTCCATTATAAAGCGTTTCTATTCTTAATTCTTTTTTTTTTTTTTAATTAAAAAAATCAAAAATAAAGTTTAAGTTGTGCAAGTATAAGTGTATGATAAATAAAGATAAACTTGTGGGTATACGACATGCAATTCAGCCATACCCCTTTAAAAGGCGGCATGCAGTTTGGACAGACCGCTCTAAAAGGTGGTATGCAATTCGGACATTTTTCTTTTTTACATGCAATTCGGATGCAGCCGAAAATTTTGCCAAAATCGCAATTTTAATTTGCAAGTTCTAAAAAGCAATTTAAATTATTTGCAATTAATTTACGAAAATATTTTTACTATTTTAAATTTATTTTATCAATATAGTTATTACTTCATGAATTCATGACCATATATTTAAAGCTACTCACATTTTTACTTTTTATACATGTCGGAGTTAAAGTAATAGATTTAAAATATTATCTGTGTTGATGTTATAAAATATGATATTTTTCTTTAAAATTATTGTTATAAAGAATTTTAGATTTAGATATAATTGCTGTCTGCTATCTTTATTCGTAGGATATTAGATTTTAGGTACCCTATAAATGTGTCAAATTCAAATTTCAAGCGAAACTTTTGTGTTTTCACGATATTTCTTTACTAATAAATAAACAATATTTTTATAATTTGTAGAACATATAATATATTGTTAATTATGTAATAATATCTATCATACTTATGTATTACATAATCGCAAATACAATTAACGAAATTATTTCGAAATACAACGTATAATAATATATACGTCCATGTTTATCACAGAATAATAGAACATGTGTATATTTTATGTGTTATAGTTAATAATTATAATTCATAACTCATAAGTACTTAAACTCTTAAATAAAATTAATAATCTTATTATAATATTATATTATATATCTTTGAGTTCCCTAATTTTAGCAAAATAGTACATACCTAATTATTTACCATCCATCCTTATAATTTTGATATAGAGGCAAACCACAGCGGTTCATAGCCCCCAATCAATCCTGATCTTAAACGCAGATTTTGATATCACCGTACCAACTTGATTGTTTAATTGTCGATTTATATTACATACAATTATATATAAGTTGCTATTTGCAATGCTTGTTCAACGTTTTAACGTTTCACTCTATTATTCTCATAGTTTTATTTAATTTGTTTATTCCTACAGATATGGAAAGCTCTCATTGCGATGGGCTACCTGTTTACTGTAACATGGATTACAGCGTTCGTCATGGTGATCGTCCACGATCGCGTGCCCGACATGAAGAAATATCCACCGTTGCCGGACATATTCCTGGACAACGTGCCATACATACCTTGGGCGTTTCATATGTGTGAACTTACCGGCACCGTGTTGTGTTTCGTATGGCTCGCCGTATTGGTCTTCCACAAGCATCGTTTCATATTGCTGAGGCGGTTTTTTGCTCTTTCGGGCACAGTCTTCCTGTTACGATGCATCACGATGATCATAACTTCCTTATCCGTGCCGGGAACACATCTGGAATGCACGCCACGGAAGAAACCAGCGTATCTAGATGGTATATCTAATCAATTGCCATTATTTTTTCTTTAAAGGAGTTTAAATTTTCATTAAAATTAATACTGTGGCTATAGCATCCATTTCAATCATTCTTTCTCTCTCAGTGTCTCTAATCATTAAGAAAGTTATTTTCAATGTATTTTATCAATATTATATCATATTATAGATGGAAATTTTCTGGGTGAAATGGTGTACAAAATGCAACAAGCTTATGTTATTTGGAGAGGAGCTGGTATGTCCATACAGGGAGTTCGTACTTGTGGCGATTATATGTTCAGTGGCCATACTGTGGCATTAACCATGTTAAACTTTTTCATTACTGAATGTAAATATTTATATTTCAACTAAACGATTACAATTTATTATTGTGTTTATATATATTAAATATTTATTTTTTGTAGATACTCCACGCGACATATATTTGTTACATACGTTCAGCTGGCTCTTAAATATGTTCGGCATATTTTTTATACTTTCGGGTCATGAACATTACTCCATTGATGTATTCATTGCTTTTTACATTACGTCAAGATTATTTCTGTACTACCATACACTGGCTAACAATCAAGCATTGAGCAACAATGTTGATTCTTGTCGAACGCGAATTTGGTTTCCATTGTTTAGTTTCTTTGAATCTTCGTGTAGTTGCATGGTACCAAATGAATATGAATCGTTGACAGAAATTGCGGAAAATCTAGCATGTTCAACTTACAACAATTATTTAGTCATTAAATCAGCTATCAAAACTCAAATTTTACTATTGCGGGCACTACCGTCCAATCAAACAGTACAAATTGGTCCAACTTCTTTAGTTGGCACACGTGCAAGGTCAAGAACACCAATTGCTTTGATTAAAAAAAAAGATAAATAATCCAGAATGCTAACGTGAACGCACATATTATATATTTTTGCCTCGTTATGAATTTAAAATGTTGAGTTTTTAGACCGATGCACAGAGTATATACTTATATTTATAATATTGAATTAAAAATAATTATTAAATATTAAATTTTGTGATATAAATGTAATGTTTGGAAGACTATGAGCCAAGTATGATTATATTTTATTATTCATTTAGTTATATTTATCATTATATTGTTATCATATTGTTGTATGATCATCATTCTTGATCACTTCCATTTCCTCAGTAGTGTTTAATAATTTTCTAATTCTATACATGATTCCTACTACTTCATTTTTTATTTTTAAAACAAGAATATTAATGATACTATTAGATATTTTTAAATCTGTTATTTTTTTAAATTTTTTATCATTTGTATTGAATTCCTATAAATAACAATTCCTAATTAGTAGTTATTTTATTGTATATTTTATGTTAATTAAATAGTTTACTGATCTTCTTAGTAGGTACCTAAAATGTATTTTACTTAAAATCTAGTTATTTTGTCATAAAACTATTATCATCAACAATATATTTAAACTAATATTGTACCAACAAGTAAATATGTATATGTTGTTAAATATTATATATATGATATACTCGTACGTCAACTATGAATACTTTTTCTGCTACTTTTCCAATTCATTTGTTTGTTTTAATATTATACCTAATCAATTTGAATAATAAATAAATATATTTTCAATATATATTATACTATAACATTTTATCATTTAGACAACCACTCTTACTGTCATTTTCTCCTTAAAAATGTTCTAAAATAATATTGTCCTATAGGAACCAATCAAAATTTGATCATTATTTTTTTAATTTAATTTTATTGATGGAAGAATTATCCATGCATTAAACCTCTTTTTTCAATATTTTAATCTCAAACTTTATTATGTGTTTTCAAAAAAAGATAATTTTAAGCTTTTTTCACAAATTGTTTTATAATATTAAAGTACCTATTTTTTATATTTACCATTATTTGAAACTGAATTTAAAATGTATTAATTATATTAACTTTATTAAGTATGAATTTAAATAGTTGTTACGTATATAAAAATTATAATGAATTACTCATCTTTGGATATTGGATCTTTGACAGATACATAGATCTCTACCATTCTTCTTTCAATCAGAGATGAAGTACTGTATTGATCCACATTTAATAATACATTTGTATTATATTATAATACAATGATTTGTTTCAATTCTGGATCAATCCAAGTAAGTAAAATAGAGATAGATTGATTGAAATTTGAAGTCCAATATTAAGCAAAATATTGTGTTAATAGGTTAAGAATTTAAGTATTTGAATAAATTAATTCATTATCAAAGTTGTAATTGTAATATTTTTAAAAATACTAAGTACAAACATAGATAATGTTATTAACCAAGAGTTTGACAATTAGATGTTAATTCATTTTAATCTTAAGCCTAACATCACAAAGTTGGTTCAACTGATACAAATTTGCTATATTGTGCATGGGTAAGAGAGAGATAACAAAGAGTACACACAAACACTTTAATTTGATTAATTTGTTTTTTTTCTTTTTAGTAGTAGTATCTTAATCAGTTTTAAATTATTAATGATATTAGCATAAAATTTTTATTTTTTACACAAGACTATACTTAGTATAGTATAAATAATTACAGTAATAATAAATAATGCTATAATTATGTAATAAAGAATTTTAATGGCAAATTTAGGTTTAAATGTATAACTTTTATAACAATTTTATAAGATCAACAGATATTTTTTTTTTAATAAGAGAAAAATCAAAAATCATGTATATGTCAATAAAATTAGGCGGTTTTAGCACAAATTTTTTTAATTAAAATATTTAAGTACTACTAATTTATGAATAGCAAACCAAATAAGTAATTATAAATAATAATTGTTTTAAACAAATTGTATTTGAGCAAATAAATTATTTTGGGTAAAGCACACCTAAGAAATTTTTTAATTTGACCGGACGGACTGTTTAACTGAGATATTTAAACAAATTATATAAATTAATTAATATTTTCACCTTGAATACTATTGGCTGTAAGTTTTAAAAATTTAATCTAATACATTTTTAGCCATTACTATTCATAGGTTTACAAAATATTTATATGAAGCTGATTATTATTATCTATTAATGGAACAGCTGGCATTGTCTTTGTTCCTTATTCTAGTGTGCGATTATGTCAATTATTGTATAATAATGGATCTCAGGTATTATGCCTCAGCGCACAAATTGATACAAATGTATTGGGGTGATGCAAATGTAATACAGGTATGACGGTTGCAACTATTCGATATTCAACTCTTAAATTATTCAATGTAGCATTAATAAGTTGTCGACATATAGGTTTTTGATCTTGCGATACTTTGTAAAATATTCTTAACGAGCAAATAGCATCAGTTGGTGTCGAAGTTGGTTCTCCACGCAGGAGTCGTTTTAAAGAGTAACGGAAAGCCTCCTCTAGACCAATGGCAGATATAGACTCAGTAGATGTATCTAATGAATCAGTTATAGCTGATAATGAAGTACATGATCCTGAAATAAAATTATATTTTGTTATATTCTATTATGTTCTTTCTAATAAAATAAGTACCAGATGAAATATATGTAACAATTGCAGCTACATTGTTTTCATAGTTCCAACGTCGGCGTATTGACACCCTATAATTATCAACGCAACAACCTGTTTCTTCATCTAAAAATATAAAAATAGAATATATTAATTTTTTCAAAAAAACAAATAAATAAATAACTTGATAATAAGTAAACATATATTATAAAAATAAACTTACATTCAAATCTAGCATTATGTCTATGTGCCCATAAATGCCATTCTACTATAGCATTTTTTGGTAATCGTGATACTACTATATAATCTACAATAGCATTATTCGTCCTTTTCTCCCATTCAGTTCTAGCAGCATGAATATATTTGGTATGAGTTACATAACATATGCCCTAAAAATAAATAATTTAGTTAAATTCACCAAAACCAAAAAGACATTATATTAAAATGAATATTAATTTACTTGAACAACATCTCTAAGTTGTATATTAGGGTCAACTGCTTTGATAATTCTGCTAACGTGTCGTAAAGATAGTCGACATTGTTGCCTGATTCCACCTTCAACTATACTCAAAGTACCCGGTACAAGAGCAATCTGCCCAGCAACATAAATAATATCACCAACCTAAAATTATAAATTAAATCTACATTATATATCTTCATAAAACAGTAATAAAAAATCATATAAGAGCTATTAAACAAACACAATATCATAATAAAATTTAAAAAGAATTAGATGTACATGAATCATCAGTACACCACATAAACTTTACAATAATACCCATAAGGAGAATCAATTATAATCAATCAATTTAAAATAAAAGACAATATTTCAAAACAAAGAATAACAAGTTATAAAAATTACAACTTATCCTTTGTAGTTTAATGTTAATATCATAATAAATATTAAACTTTTAAACATATTCAACAAGTCTAGGTAATTGATGGATAATAAAAATACAATAGTTATAAATAAATAAATAATGTAAAAAACAAACACCTGTAATAATAAAAAAGAATCATAATAAGTTATTAACTTACTCGAATAGCTTGACTATATGGTCCAATATTAGCAGGCGCCCAATGAGATATACTTTGTACATGCATTGTATGTTTAGACATTGATGGGAGGTTTGAATTTGAAGATGACTTGGATGGTGGTTTATAAGCAACAACATCTATAAGAATAGGTGTGTACTCTGAAAGAGGTATTTCTACACAAACTCTCACAGGAGGACTAATTCTACACATTATTGAAGCATATTGTGCATTCATACTAAGAAACTCAGTCATGTCACGAACATATAAAGTAACAGCAACAACATCAGTTAACTCTAAATTTCTTTCCTGTAACAAATCTATAAAAAAAAAAAAGAAATATGAATAGGATTAAATTGTAATTACATGGGCATTTTTTTTTTTTTTTTTGTTATAAATGTTAAAACAAACTTTAATATAATATAAAAATAGGTATATAGTATATTATAATAATGTAGTTTTAATTACAAATTCAAAATATTGTTCAATCTAATTAATCAATTAAAAAAATTTTGCGTATTTAAATACCTAACCTCAAATTATTGAAACATGTAATTATAACATAGTTTAATATTTTAATAATCTATAATAATTGTTTTAATTAATTTTTTTGTAGTTAAAATAATTTCAGCTTGACATCATGATTTAAATAAAACCTATGTTAACAAGTGACATTAGTAACACAAAATATTACATGTATTATTATGTTAAATATACAATTACCTCTTAATTTCTCAAGAGCAACTATAACTGGAGATTTATCACCAACCCAATAACCAGTCAATGAATTAATCCAAGTCCATCCATTTGGATAACCAATACAAGATACAGAATCTGTCTCTATAAGTTCCCCAAAACATACTTGACCATCAGTCTGATCAATAATGATACTATTATTTTCTGAAGCATCATCATCAAAATTGTCACCATCAGTAACAGTACCAAGATCTATTTCTAAATCATCCAAATCCATCAAATGAGCTAAAGGACTGCGCACACGATAACAAGCCATACGATCACGAAAACTTTGATTCTCATCAACATTCTTAAAGAAAAAAATTAAATTAATTATTTTACATATCATTTAAACATTACAGATGCTTTAATAAAAATACCAATTTATAACTTAAATTTAAAATTTTACCAACCGGTTTTTTTAATAAGCAAAATTTTTTAAAATTTATATATCCCACAGGAGCAATTGTATCATTGGTATGCATTACAGTTTCAAACTCTTCACTGAAAAATATCAAAGTTATATTTCTAATGAAATATTTATACCATTTATTACATAATCTATTTAAAATATTTATGATTAAAAAATATATAAATTATTTCATTGACTTTAATAAAATAATAATATATTTAAGGTTATTTATTTTGTGTGAAACATATTTGTGTAGTAATATTTAATTATATTAAAAATTGTATAATAATAAGCGGCTATAATGTATAATATATTTTTAAATTATAATTACTTAAATATTTTAAAATGTTTTGTAAATAATAATAATGTTAGAAAAAAGAACTAGTATATAAACATATTGCATTATGTATTTATGTGTAATGTATGTAAATATATAATATATTTATAAAGATATTATGAGATGTTTCTATAAAAAAAATATAATAAGTAACAAACAATTAAACTGCTTTCAACTAGGTAATATGAAGTCCACCTATTTTTTTTTCTAATTATAAATGTTAAAAATAAAATGATTCTTAAGTAAAAACTAATATCAAACAATTCTATGTTATTTTCTAAAACTAGAATGTTGTCCACTATTACAACATTAATCATTGGAATAGGCATACATGGTAAAAATGTTGTATTTTAATATGTTTGTGATCGAGTGTGTGGATTTATTTGTATACTTACATGATCACCGATTTGGTGAACAAAGGACAGTCTAGAGTGAATGTTTCGTATTCTCCACCTTCGCCACATATATTTAAGCCATATTTTTCATTCTGGAAACCAACACAAAAGTCAAGGAGAAAACGGGAAGAACCCCACTGCATCTCCACTGTGTCAGATATATATTTTACCCAATAAAAATTAATATTATAAACACCTACTCAAATCCCACATTAATATTATAACAGAAAAGAAGTCACCACCAAATATAAAGTATATAATAAGTTATTTAATTAACTTTTTTTTCCCAAAAAATTTAAATTAAAAAAGTAATCCTTAGTAAAATTTAAAATAATCAAACTACTAAATTCCTATTACTATACCTAATCTAGAAATAAATTATAGTATCACTCGCATAATGTGTATCAAACTTATTATAAAGAAATAAAAAAAATTGCCACTAATTAGGCATACAGAGACTAACATTCCCTAAAAATATTGTCTTATGAAATGCATTTCTAGAATCTCCATTATTGGAGTAGCATGTTAGTCGTGCAAAAATGAATATATGAATATATATAAGTATACACACATATATATATATATGTATATATATCTAATTACATATATAAAAAAATAATAAATATTCCTCATTACCATTTTAACTAAATGTGGCATTAGCTTATCAATTCGCAATCCCAAATGTTTTGTAGGATCTAATCCAAGTGCTGCTACTTTAATAACAATTGCTTCAATATTGCAATCAATCATTTCCTGTAGCAATTCTTTTTGATCACGACGCCACAAATATGACAGAGAGCAAATACCTAATCTTGAACACCTAAAATTATAAAATATTCTTTACAATTAATCAGAACTTTTTGAAGTTATATTGTATTTATCAGTCAACCTACACATCTTCAACACGTAGACGCTGATAATCAGAAAGTATAGCACCTACAGCTACAGCATCAAATTCAATTTGTGTCTAAATTTAAAAATAATCAACTAAGAAAAAAGACCAATATTTTATATTATCTAATACTTCTAAAATAGACAAATACTTTAATATTAGCAAGGAGATCAAACAAATCTTCAACTTCATCTTCAGGAGTATGAGTATAAATTTTTTCTTGTTGCAATGCAACTCCATTTGTTCGTTGCCTGAACAATGGAAGGCCCATTGCTTCTGCATATAATTCTACTGCTTGGTGACCAACACTTTGATACATATAGCTATCCAACTCATCTATTATTGTTTTAAATTATTTAAATTATTAAAAAATACATAAAATAGGTATTTTACACGATTTAAGACCCAAACAACATAACTTACCTTTACTCTGTGGTTTTAAGTTTGCCAATGCAACAATGTCATGGCCTGCCGCTATACACTGCATCATGTTATAACAGCTATCCTTTCCGCCGCTGATTAATGCTACTACTCTCATATTTGTACCTTAACAGAAAGGATTTGTTTATACACGAGGTAAATATGTACTTATGCAATCACCTAACTAACTACTTATTACAATCACCTTTGATATTTGTTTATATATTATCTTTAATAGGTCAGTAAAAATGATATATGTTCACAGCATCCAAAGAAAAACGTTGGGTAACATTTTGGTTGGTCTTTTATGAATAATTTTTGACAAATTTTCGAACACTTAATAAGGATTATACATGTTACGTTAAACTTACCAAATCAGACGAATTTGGCAAATAAATTTAAGCCAAGTACATTTTCGTTCTAAAAAAAATTTTTGGCTGGGCTGTTATCAATTACCGTAAACCCTGATTTTTATCAAGTCTAGTGACGCCAGCGATGGGAAAAGGAATTTTGTATCCAGCTATTTGGTTACCTTTAAACTTGTCCGTTTTTTTGGCGCCTGTAAACTACAGATAAAACTATTGGCTAATGGCTCTAGCTTTTCACCACATACTATCTGTAGTACAGTGTACTTTGAGTCTTACTTCTTTATCTACTATCTAGTGTCCACTCTCTATAGTACTTTAGAGTTTAGAGTTTAGTTCTCTAAAAGTCTACTTCACATGGTGTATTGTATTGTGAGTCTGTAAGTGTTAGATCTTAGACGTTAGTACGTCTTGACTTCTAGCACAGGATTTACTTACTTATTAGACGTAAGTAATATTACAACAACCAAATATTATCAAAATTATAATGTAAGTATGTACAACGTAAACACTAAACACGATATTTCATATAATCGTGTTAGATAAAATTTTGAATACCAAAAATAATCTGTTATGCTAACGATTCTTGGTCTAATGGTCTCGTACGTTTAGGTTACCCAACAGCTTAAGACTATTAAGTACTCAGTAAAAAATTAAGCTTAAAAGTAATAATAATCTAAATGTTTTTTACTTATTATTACATAAATAAAATACTTTACATTTAGATCTATCAATTTAAATGACAGTCTAATTACAGTCTTATTTTGAAAGTAAATGATAATTTTAATTTTATCGTTTATTGCTTAATATATTGTGAATATTTATTTACATTTATATTAACTTATTGTAGTTTTCTTTTTTGTTAATTGTCATTTATATATTTTCATGAATGCATTTAATATTTTTGTTTTATATAGTACATTATTACATTATTAAACTTATTATGTACAACATAATATTATATTATATTTAAAGATATATATATTCCATTAAAATAAAACTTTTACGTTTTCTCAGCTATTACTTTTTGCTATGACTATTATTTTAACTACTTTACTCGATCACCATATTTGTTTACTTAATACTTATAAAAAAAAATTTCTCATTAGTATTGTAATAAGTATTTCTAAGGTATCCATTGTTATTTTCACTTATTATAAATAATCATCAATTTTTTAAAAATGTCTTGGTCCTACTTATTTTTATTCTTAATTTTTGGCTTAGTTACTGTAAATGTAATAAATTAAAATTCCAATCTAATTCTATCTCATGATCATGACCCATATCCATGTTTAACAATATTTAATGTACTCAATGTACATTGTTATCGTTTTTGCAGTTCTAAAATTCTTCATTAAAATAACAATTGACTATTATTGGCTTTGTACTTTTTGTACTTTCAGTATTAAATGATAGTCTTAGTAATGAGAAAGTACTTTTTTTAAGTTTAAATTTTGTATTTATAGAATTTTATTAAGTTATTACAATTTAAAAAGCAACTTAATAGGTGAGGGGTTGAACCCACTCGAGTTAGTGACATTAGATGAATTTATATCTCTACCATTTATCCAAATATCTAAATAAGCCACTGAAACCACCTAAATGACTGTTGAAAAACATATAGTTTACATTTAACGGAATTTAAGACATGGTAAAACTATTAACATTACTTAATTTGTAATAAACAACTCTATCTACGATTAGCTAGTAATTAATATTTGATTTTATCAAGTATTTATAAACAATTTTTTTTATTATCATTATTCTTTTAGAATGGAACCATCTAGTGATATAAGTATTGAAAGTGTTGAAGAAAATGTTCAAAAATCTTCATTAAATCGTGTTAGAAAACGAAAAAAGCAACTTTACACTGATTTAAAAAAACAAATGGAATTTTACCTAAGTGATGCTAATTTAAGAAAAGATAGATATTTTGGAAATCTTATGCAAACCAGTCAATGTAAGTGTATTTTTGTATAATATATTAAAGTACAAGTATAAAAAAAAATGATAACTAAGTGAATACCGCTTTGCTGTTCATTATATGTTAAGTAAATCACTATTATGGATATGTTAAATTTAAATTCAATAATATCATATCATTGTGTATAAAAAATAATTCTAAACAAAAACATTTTGCCAACTTATAAGATATAAAATCATTTAGTATATTTGTTTTGTTTTTTTGATATAGCTATTAAAACCATTCATTTTACTTTTATGATAGGTTGATATAATTTTTTCTTGTATAATTTAATATTTAATTATTAAACAAACATTTATATTATTTTATAAAAATGTATATTGCTTAAAATTTAATTTGATTTTCCTGTAAGTATCATACAACAGTAAAAATAGATTAATGATATAAATAGATATTATCTTAAAATAAATCAAAAATGTCATTGAGCATAGTAAAATTCATAATAATATGTGTAAAAGTTTTAAGTTTCCATAAGTAATGTTTCTAAATTTTAACAAAAAATTGTTGTTTATCATTTAAATAAGTAATTTCATCCAAATTTTAACTTAAAATATTTATAAATTATAATTTCTTTTATATATTTTTAAATTTAAATTTTAAGTATAATTAAATTATTTTTTAAGTATTTCATACAATATAAGTTGTATTTTTGCAAATTTTGTCAAACTTCTAAATTTAAATGCTTAGAAAAAATTATTATTTATAAAATTTCAATATTTTTGAACAGAGAAATGAACCACTTAGGATCCTTATATTACATTTCTAAGTATTTTTATCTATTCATAATTTTTTTATTGATATTTTAAACAAAAACTTAAAAAGTCTAAAAATTGAATTGTCTATTAATAACACTAAAAATGTACACCAAATATAGAAAATAATAATATTAATCCTTGATGACAATTTCAAGATAATGTAGTTCCTCATTTTTTTTAATTATAACAAAATAATGAAATCAATTTTATTAAAATCTGGGTTTCTTAAAAATTCCTGTTTTTCCTTGATTTTATGTTTGTTTTTCCATTTATAAATAAAATACTGGACGTTTTTGATCTCTAAACCATAAACTAGATCCAATTATTCACCCAAAACTACCTTTAAAGTTTAAAATCTAAGCATTTTATCGTCAATTTATTTTTTATTTATACAAAAAAAAGAAAAAAGAAAGCAAAATACTAATCCTTATAAAATCAATACATTCATCACTCCACTCAAAATTTGAAATGTATATTACAGTTTCTGAAACTATTGAATAAGCTAGTAATTTGGTAGTATTAAGTATCAATATTTTAATTTAATGTATTCACATTAAAATAAATAAATACAGTTTATGATAAAAATATATCATATTTATTTTATGTATTTAATTTGTGATGGAATTTTAAATATGGTATGTAACATTTATTAATTATTTGCTCCATAAAATTTTGGTTTGGTTTTAGATGCTGCTCTCGGATATGCGGTCTACCAACGGGACACCGTCTACAAACATGTATGTAGACCACATATCTGAGCAGCGATAAAAAAAAAAAATTTAAAGGATAAAATTGACCCAAATATAATTTACTGTAATAATATAATGTATACCTACGATATAGTTTTGTATTTTTCGCCTATATTTATTGTACTTTTGTAATCGCATCTCATCCACTATTCTTGGAAAGTTGCTAAAAAAGAAGAACTTGATTTATTTATTGCTTTTTTTAAAATATTTAAATAATTTGGTTATTTATTTACATACTACTATTACTATTTACTGCGTATTATAGGTGTGCGGCTACATAATATGTAGACCGCATATCTGAGCAGAAATATGTTGGTAGACCACATATCCGAGCAGCACCTGGTTTTATTTATCATTACTTAAATATTTTTGTACATTTTTTCAATATTAATGTCCATTAAACCTCTCAAGATTCCCTTAAAATATTGATGGATATGTACTATATAAAAATAAAAAAATATCAGACTAAAAATATATAAACATAAATAGTTTAAATTTTATATTCTGTTCTATATGAGAACATGTTGTGGTCTTACAAATTACATTTTTCTTAGACATTCCCATGCAAAATCCTTCTATAGTGGAACACGAAGCAAAAAGTGTTGTTAGAGGATATTTATAACTTAAATGTTCTTTTACTAGATATATTCTAATTTATTAATACTCATTATTTTATCAGAATGATGTTTTATAAAATATGTTTAAGATATCCTTACAATTATAGTTTGGCTGACATCTTTGTATTTAATATAAATAATAACTAAAATGAATAATTTTATTTTTATAGGTATTAGTATCAATACATTTTTGAACTGTAATAAAATAAAGAGTTTAACCCAAAATCCAGAAGATATAATTAAAGCTTTAGAGAGCTCTAATGTTTTATCTGTTAGCGACTGTAAAACCAAAATTTATAGAATTAAACCTATTGAAGACAAAAAACCTGAGGATATTGAACGCTGTACAGTATATGTGGTTAGTTTTATTCATAAATATATTTTTGTAATATTGTATATTATTTAAAGAATAATCCACATTCTATGTAAATAAAAATGCTGTCACATTAATAGTTGATGGTTATTCTGATAGTAAGGCATATCTTAATCATCAAAGTTATGATTTTTTTGTACAGCAAAATAATCTTCATTTAATTATTGATTGATGTACAAAATTGTATCATAAAAGTTAAAAAAAAAAAATTTATATTTTTACTTTTTTGTCATAAATATTTATTATTTTACAAAAACTGAATATTTTCTAGATTGATAAAAATAAATAGAATATTATATGTTATAGGAACAATTGCCTCCTAAAGCAGATCACGATTGGATTAAATCAATGTTTGAAAAATATGGAAGTGTAGCTTATATTTCATTGCCTAAATTTAAAAGTGGAATAATTAAAAGATTTGCATTTATTGAATTTGACAACGAAGAATCTGCTATTAAAGTTCTAGAGGTAAAATTTAACTTAAAATATTATATTTATATATATATATATATGGTCTTAGGTTAAATATATAATTTAAGATAATAAGATAAATTTTCTACTCCATACAAAAATCACAAAGAAACTTCTTGTGTTACTCAAATCCTTAACATATTCTCTTAATCCAATAGCTCTGAAGTATTTAAATAATTGTATAAATTATATTACGAATCTAATTTATTAAAAAATATTTATTACATCATAAAAAATAAGAAATTCTTCATTCCTTAAGCAACTTAAAAGAATCTCATTAAAAATGTGTATTAATTATAATTGTCTTACTCATAAGTTATGACCCTGTGGATATATGAATTTATAAATAATATTAAGAAAATAATAATATGTTTTGTTAGGAATATAAAAAATCACATGAAGTATCCAAAATTCTTCCTGAAGAACTGCAAAGTATAATTACTTTCAATGAAGATGAAGATAAGGACACAGATAAAAGTACTAATAATGTTAATCTGTCGAAAAAAAGAAAACATTCTATAAGTATTGAAGGTGTTGAAAAGAAAATGAAAAAAGAAACACCACAAATAAGTTGTTCAGGAATTAAAAATAGTAAAAAGAAGAAAAAGAAAGACAAAAATAAAAAATGTGATTTTGATGATGAACAAAAAAATTCATCTTTTGAAATTAGTGACAGTGAAAATAACCAAAGAGCTTTAATTGAAAATATTGATACCATTATTTCAAAATCATCAGAAAAAATCATAAGTGATGATGATAAAAGAGAAAAAAGTATTGAGCCAAACAATACTGATTCAGTTATAAAAAAAAAAAGGAAACGTAATAAGGGAAAAAAATTGAAATTAGATACTACTTCAACTTCACCTGCATTAAGAATAATGTCAAAGTAAAATGTTTTTTTATTTTAATCTTATTTGTTATTTATATAAACAATATTGTTATTTTTTAGAACTGAGTGGAGAAAACTTAGAAATCAATTTTTAAATATGCAGCGACAAAAAATGTCTTTATTAAAAGCTCAATTACGTCATCCTAAATATAATGAAAGTTATAATACACATTATCGCGAAAATTCTGAAAAAAATAATGAGACAATTACAAATTTTGAAGATGTAGCTGTAGAATTACCAAAAAATAATGATATACGTGTTAAATATGAACCTGGTGTAATATTGAAAATTGCATTTACAAATCCAATTGAATCTGATAAAATATTCAAAGTATGATCATTTTTATTTATTTATTCTTTGTATTATATTATGTTTGATGATTTTTTTTATTATTTAAATTAATATAATAATTAGTTATAATTTTTTAAGTTATTAAATTTTTAATTACATATTCTAAAGTAAAATATTTTTTGAAGTATTTTGATACATAAAAATCAAAATTAGGAAAAGTACTTTATGAATTATAAGTAAACAGAGTAGTAGACCAAAACTGCGTGGTATTCTATTCTCCACTCTGGTCACCTAAACATTAAATAATTATAATTAATTTACTAACTATTCATCCAAATTTAAGTTATTATGTATCATATTTCTCCAAAAATGTATAGAACTTAAATAACATTTATATGAAAAAGTTATTTTCAAAAGCATTAATAGATTTTGAAATAATAAGTGTTGTTTTATTAAATAATCACTCTATATGTATATCTATCATATAAGCAATTTTACAATATCTACCTAATTCTTTGTTGAATTTTAACTTTATTTTTACCAACGTATTTCTTTTAAAATTAATTTTAGATTTAATATTTAATAATTATTATAATATATTATTGCATCTTTTATTAATTTTAAAAGTGATCCGCTTTATAAGTAAAACATTAAATTATTGAATTTAAAATATATATTTTTTTTAAATACTGAAATAGATAACAAGGTTGTTTTTACCACTTTTTGCCAAAATTAATTTTTAATAAATCAAAATCTGCACACTTGAACTCTAAAAATTAAATTTATTCCCCATTTATAAAATTTTTGATAACTCATTTTCTAGACAGTTTCATGCTTTATGTTTAATGCAATTGTAAATTTTTTTGAAGTGTCGTCACTTAGTAATGCTAAAAATATGTCTGTATAGTATATGTATTATAGAAAATGTGTCTAACTTTGTATAATTAATTCTAAATTTCATTATCTTTTGAGGATATAATTTTTTGATTCTAATATCAAAATTGTTTGATTATTTATTATTTTTCTAAGAGTTTAATTAAGTCTTAATATGAATCAATAGTTTTAAATATTAATTTTTTTTTTCTGAGGACTACATTTTGTATCACGCTATTGGGTAAAAAAAAATGCATTGTCTTTATAGTGTTATATATACTGAAAGGTTTTTATCCCATTAGTTGATTTTTACTGTTACTTAATTTAATTCTGAAATTAGCTCTAATCAAAACATATATTATGTTATATTACTTATTTTCAGCAATACTTTTTTTTTTTTTTTTGGAAAGTTTGCAAATAATGCTTTGGTAAATTATTGATGTTTAATTAACTGTTTATCATAATTGATAATTTGTAGGTTTAAAGTGAGAGTGATTTCTCAAGTACTTGAAATTTCTAATGCTAATTATATATTATATTTTTTGATTACATAAAATTTATCTTTATATTTATTTACCTTAAGGCTGAAGCAAAAACTGATTCTAGAGTCAAGTTTGTTGATGTTATACATAATTCTGAAGCTTATATACGATGCGACTGTCAAGAAACAGCTATAAAAATAGCAGAGGAAAATCGATGGCCACAAACCAGATTATTAAAAGGTTAATATTTATTTAATATTTTTACTATAAAAACTAATATGATTTTTATTATAGATGAAGAAGAAAAACTTTATTGGGATAAGATTTTACGAGATAGAGAAATTAAATGTGCCAAACAAAAAGAAACAAAAAAACCACGAGGTCGCGAAAAACTAATTAAAAAAGCAGAAAAAAGATTAGCTCAACACGTTACTTTTAATCAAGAAGATAACGATTAAATGTAGATATTAATTATTATTTATCACATTTAATAAACTCCTTTTTTAATATTGAACTAAACAATGTTTTATTCTTGTTATAATTTTTTTAGAAAAAATAATTTAATATTAAAAATGAATTTTGAAAAAATCTGCAAATTACAGCGTGATTTTATTATTAAAGCTAAAGGTTTAAAAATGTATTACAAGGCTTCTCATAAATTGTTTTTGGTATAATTAAAAAAATATATAATATATTTTTATGTACCCTCACCTTTTATTCACAATAAGTTATACTTTATGATATTTACACATCAGATAATCCCAAAACAAACTACATTACTCTAGCAACATATGCAAACAATACCGCTATACTAGCATCAAAGATCCAAACATAGCCACCCACAATATAATACATCATTTAAATCAAATTTCCAATTTGAACTAAAAAAAGGAAAATGAAGATAAATGAAAATAAATTGGTTCAAATAAATTTTCTCTCAGTAAAAACAAATATATCCACAACTATCGCTCAATAATGTACAAATTCATATCCAAAATGTAACCAAATACTAAAGAGTTCATCTGGACAAAATACTTACCTAGACCCAACTCGCTAAACATAAAAGAATCAATCAAACACACTTCTACATCTCCTTCGTTCATTAATGTCTTCCTCAATGAGGTTAAAAAACAAAATACTAATATACAAGACTATTATTACCCCTAGTCATATGGTATCCAATTCTGGGGCTAAGCCAAACCATCTAAGACCTATACAAGCCTTTTCAATCTATATCTTAGACAAATAACTGGAACCCCATGGTATATGATCAACAATGTACTACATGAGGGTGTAAAATTCTCAACAGTCAATAACACTCAACACTACAAAAAATTCCATTTAAAACTCCATTCAAACCTAAACCCTCTTATTTCTCGTATGTGCTCTAAAACTATCCCCAGCAATTCCCCAAGGAAATTAAAAATAAAATGGCTTAGAGATTGCTGATTACAAACAAAAAAATATCCCTCCATATGAACCTACCAAATTAAACTGGAGGTTCTGTTGATGGATACTTTTCCCCCTCAAACCTATCAAGTCGTCTTTATTATTACTATTATATATTATCCAATTTACTTATTGTTCTTTTCTGTATAGATTTTAAATATTGCTTTTATTAATCAATAATTAAAAAAAAGTTTATACAACCATTTGAAGTTCAAAATTTAAAAAAATTGTAATTTAAATTCAAGATAACAATTTTTGTTATTTTACTGCATTTCAAAAATATTATAGAAATTCGAAAAATAACATTCAGTAGAGCATCAATTATTTGCAGTATAAGGATTGAACGTGCAGATAATCAAGTAATGATTAAAAATATACAATGAGCATGAATTGAAATGTTTTACATAATTAAAAATAAAACTTACGTATTTACAATGTATAAGTATTTTATGTAAAAATAAAATATTTGTTGTTGGATAATAAAATAACCTCGATGGTCCTGATAAATTCAGTCTAAGAGATGTCTGGATTATTGGATATTTCTTAAGAGTAGGTTTCAACTCAAATGGTTAAGAATTTAAGTTATACCATAATTATTTATTTTATTTAATAAATAATAAAAAAATTAATTATTTATATTGAAGTTCATAAAGTAATCAAATAAACTATATTTAGGAATTCTAAAAAAAAACTATTAAGGCTCTACTATTAATGTATGTATTTAAAATTATCTCAAATTTTATAGTAAATAATAAAACTGGAATCTTCAAATACATTTTAACTAAAACTTTGAAATGGATAATTAATGCTCTTTATACTTATATGACAATTTAAATCAAATAATTGTTTTTTTCTTATATGTTATATAGGTAAATAAAAAAATTGCCTATGATTATTGTGACTTACTTAATGACAGAGTTTAAGTAATCAACCAAAATTTTCTATATTACAGTAAGACTTCCACAATTTTTAACTTCGAGATTAGTTGGTCTTAAACATTAAAAATATTTTTAATTTTTCTTTAAAATCGAAAAAAATAAATAAACCAGTAGTACAAATAATCATGGATACCAATTAAAAAAAAAAAACATTGAAAATTTATTTTTGCAGTAATTCAGGTAGGAACTAGAAATTTTCAAAATGATTTAATATTTTTTAACTTAACAGTTTTTAAAAAATTATAGAATTTTCTTATTGTTTTACACTCAGGAAAGTTGATAGAACCAACACTAATATTATTTCTTAAATTATTTATATAAACAAAATTCTGCTCCATATGTTTTTTTTAACACTTAAACACATATGTAATTTATTAATTGTTCTCAGTTAATATAAGGTAAATGTATTTGAACTAATAAGAAAAAAAGGATAATCAAATTCACACTAAATAAAATTATAATATTATATTTAAATAAAATTATTAATACAACATAGTATTATGTAATTATTCTAAAGTACGATAAAAATATATATATTAAACAGGTCTTTTAAAAAAGTCTACAATATTAAGACTCTTCATCAACTACAAGTTGCGTTATTCTTCTTTTAAAATTTAGCTTGTGTTGTTCCCCCCTGTCAAGATTTTTTTTTACTAAATCTTAGATGTTTTTAGATTAATAAAACAAATATGTAACATTCCCTTTAATTAGGTTCAAATTTTATGATTTATTTTTTATTAGAAAACTACCCCAAAAAGTAAACGCAACTTAATAGTATACTTGCATTGACCAACAATAATAAAATTTAATATATTTTTAATAATATAACTATTATTACTTAATTAAATAAAGTCATTATAACTAGAGTTCTTAAGATTAAATTAATTTGTAATGAATATAAAAATTCAAAACCGACAAATAAAAAAATGAATAAAAATTCACTTATATAAAAACAAAATATAATGGCATAGATAAATATAAATGTATAATGAAAGTAAATTATTATTTTTTTTTTAATATGTATAATTTATTAAAATTGTCAAAATTGTCTGTAAAAAATATAAGAGGTATAATTAAATAATAAATTACTTATTTTATGTTTGAAGTTTAAATTACTGAAATAATAAATGTACTTAAACAACACAAAGTACAAGGAAAAAAATAAAAATTAGTAATTGACAATTTATTTAACATTTTAATGTTACTTTTTTAATTTTATTGTAGTAATTTTTATTAAATATATATTTATTTAATTAATTGAATGAAATTGTTTTAATTATTACATTAAATTTCATTTTAAAAATATTCGTTTTGATTCAGATAAAAGAAATTGTCAAATAAACTTATGCATAATAAGGTTGAACTCCATTATTCATGACTTCCATTGTTTTATTGCATAAATAAGAGAAGGTCTGTAACTTTCTTGGTATTATAACTTTTGTTATATTATGGAAAAGATCAAAAGGATCTTGTACTGCAAGACCTTCACCATGAAAGTTATCTCTTAATCTTATACACCAGTCAATAGGTTTACCTTTTTTTTTTTTGTTAAAACCTAATATATCTGGTTTTATCATTGGAATATCATAAAATTTATCTTTAGGTATAGCTTGTCCAATAGCTGGACAAAGAACAAATTGTTTAAGTCTGTTAGAGTCTGAATAAAACTTAAAAAATCCTAATAATAAGTCCCAACGAGGAATTTCTGGTACTTTCCAAATTTGTTTAGCTTTTTCCAGAGTGCAGAAGGTACAATCCCAATCTAAGAAAAAAAAATTTCAACTAATTAGTGATACATTATAAATATAGAATATCAACACCAGTAATTAAAGTTAATTTAATAATATTTAGTTGCAATTTTAATACAAGTATAAATAGCTGAATACTACTAATTTAAAAACAAAATAATATACCTTCTATGAACATGAAATCTGATGTAGATGTATTTTTAGAATAATCTGCATGTTCTCTGAGTAATATTAATGGAGGAACTACTTCAATAGTCATCAAATAAAAAAGAACCAACCATGCTAAAGCATAACTGGTAAACATACTTTGATTTTTCATATCATTTTGTAATGCCCAACGTTTAACAACTGCACAGACAATCCAATGAACACGTTCATCTAATGCTAAATACAACCTGAGTTGTTGAACAGAATTTGATTAAATTATTTTATTAATTAATTTAATAGACAGTTATATATAATTTACCTGACGAGTTTAGTATTATGTGTACTGAGGCCACTTTTAAAAGATAAATCACAAAATAGGGCAGAAGGGACATGAAAAAATTTGACTATAGGAACACGTGCTCCAGTTATTGGTTGTATATGTTTAAATTCATTATTTTGAGACCGAAAAACTTTTCCAAAATAACGTACTAAATCTTCTTGAGCATATAGATCATTACTTAATTCTCCACCAAAAGTGTCAGCTATAAGATAAATTAAAAAATTATAATTAAACTGATTTTACTTGAAAAATTATATCAAGTTAAATTTAGTATTACTAAACTTAGTAATTGGTATAGTATTTATTCATAGTTACAAAACAAAAATAGTTTTAGTCAGGATATAACAATATAAAACAAATAATAAAAAAAATTTAAGAAATTTATGGAAAAAATGGTGGGGGGATGGAAGTGAGTACCGCTTTACTGTAAGTAGGTTTTTAATTTATAACTGAACAACTTATGAAGAACTTTGTATCACATTTTCAAGCCTTTATACCCAGTGAATAATTTTTATCGACATTAATAAAAAAATAATTTAATTAAATTCAGTTTTTTCTCGATTTTTTTTTTCCAGTTTTTCTAGAAATGTTTTATTTTGGCCAGTAATGAACAGAATACATCCAATTAACTACCTAAAACTATTGAAACCCAATCTTTTCAACTACTTATTAAATAAACATACACAAAATAAAGCATACATAACTTTAAAATCAATACACTCACATCTCTCAACTAAGAATCTTGAATATATAATATATATATATATATATTAAATGCATTTAAGATTTGTTGTATTTAAAAAAAAAAAAAAATTAATTTAAATATATTGCAAAAAGACGCAAAATTCATGAGTAGAATTATATTGAACCCTTAAAAAAAATACAGCTATACTTTATCTTAAAATTGGATATATAAATTTGAGTATTTTTAAAAATTATACAAAAACTAATCATTTATTGATAAATATCAAAACCATTAAACCATTAAAATAAACATTATATTAGAATATTCAATTTTAAAGCTATAAATAATTGAAAATAGTTAATTTATTCATTTATGAATAAAAATATAAATAATCATAATAAAAATCATGTAGAAATAAAAGGCTTAAAAGAACAATATTCATCAATATGATGGAAAAATCTTTTTTAATTATTTGATTTCGATTTGTAAATTATAAAAACAAATTTAAGCATTTTCACTAAATCCAAAATGATTTAATTTAAGGTATTATTATAATATATGATGTCCTTTATTAAAAGCCTATTTTAAGTAAATAATATACTTTATAAAACCTATTGAATAATAGCCAATATATAATAAATTAACAACTATTAATTATTATTTTTCTTAAATAGATACAATTTTTATTACTAATTAATATTATATTTAAATTATTCATTCTTTTAAATAAATAATGTTAACATTACCGATATCAAAGTATAAATCCACATCACTATCTTTAAGTGCAAGACCTGACATACGTGATCCAAAAGCATATGTTTTACTTCCTTTAAAATGTTGGCCAGCATAACTGTGTATTGAGTTTACTAACAAAAATAATCTATCAATTATATCAGGATTGGAAATTTCTTGATTAATCTCCGCAAGTTGTGTGTCAATAGATTTTAGCAATACTGCCTTATTTCCAAACTCAAATATTGTTGTTTTATTTAACTCAGGTAATTTGTCATCTAGAATCAATTAAAAATAGAATAAGATATCTTACATATATAACTACATAACAACATATTCATTAGCAATAATTGTTATTATTTTCAATATAAGGTAGACAATTTTAACAACTGTATCTAGAAGTGTTAAAAAGTTAATCAATAAAGTTTAAAAAATCATTAACATTTTTGCCTTATACAATTTTTCAGTAAGGCTTTAGTTTTTTTATTTGTGTTTAATAAAAAAATTAATAATTATATTAGAAAATTTAATTTTTTCTTAAATATTATTGATACTACTACAACTTTAAAAATAAAATTTTAATTTCAATAATTACATAATACACAATATTTGTCAAGAGTAAAACATTAATTTTTACAACAAAAACTTACCTTCTTCTAGTATACTAATAGTAAATTCATGTTTTTTTTCTAACATTTCTTTATCATTTAAAACTTTGTTCACAGCAGCTCTGTAAATATGGAAAAACATTAATTAAAGACTTAAGTCTAAAAATATAAAAAAATTAATTTCATTTTTTTTTAATTACTAATAATGAAATTTTAATTAGAAAGTTTTTACAAATATTGAAATCACAGTACATTTTTTTTTTTTTTTTTTGTCATGGTGTTTATGTATTTAATACTGTGGAACATAATTTATAACTTGAACACCGAGACAAATATATTTTAGAATACTAAAATAATAATATAATAATAAAAATGAATCTCAATTTATTTTTTAATAGTTTTGACTTAAACTTTGATTTAATTAAATGATAGATATAAAATCAATAATTATTTATTTTATGTCACCATTGGTTATAACTTATAAATTAAGAAAAATGATAATTATATATTTTTTAAGTTGATTTAATTACTAAAAACCTTAGATTACATGCCATGTATTAAAAATATATTTTACTACAACTCTGCTGTTTTATAAGCTATTTTTTTATATAATTTTAAACATTAAAATTGTATGTTAAAAAATAATATTAGGTACTAAATTAAAAATCTTTTCAGATTATATAAGTTATGTTAGCTAGTGTCTAAATAGATTCAAGCAAGTAGTTTTGGCATAAATTACTTAAGATGATAAAAAATTACAATTGTACAATTGGGAATTTATAGAAATATTGTTATTAGTTACTATGGATAACATTTATATTGTTTAATAGAGCATATACTTACAATTTACGAAATATGATTATAACAGAGCTATGTTTAGTAATAATTCCAAAAAACCCATAAGCAGAAAATATTTTTTTGAGTTCAACCCAGCTATTTTTTTTATACTGTGGTTTTGCACCTAAAACATTTAAATATGACAATTTAATTTGTAAATTATACAATCTACCATGTTACCTTTAATTTCAATCATCACTTGGCGATTACATCCTTCTTTTTGATCATTACTACCATTTGTTTGTTGCTTGTCTATTTTTGATATTTGAGTAACATTTGAAGGATTGCCAGGAGTTAAATTACTTTTCTGCTCATTTTTTATTTTTATTTTATTATTATTTTTTGAATGATTTGGGTTGCATAATTTATTAAAATCGAACATATTTTTGTGTTCAATAGTGTTATAGTGTTCATCTAAATGTTGAGATAGCCCAAATTGATATAAATTGCAAGTAGTACAATACCCATTATGGCGCAATTCAGTCTTATTTGAATGATTAGTTAAATTATGTTCATCCCAATTTTTTAGTACTGTAGTTATAAAATCACAAGGTACACAATAATAACATGTTTGTGATTTTATTTCTTTATTTTGCTTAAGCAATTCATTCAACATACTAATTTTCAATCTATAAAAATTACTATAGTTTTGAGTTTTTGATTCCAAAGGAAAATCATCTATGGTTTTTCTCATTAATTGATTTTCATTTGTTGTTGCAATAGATTCATCTATTGTAGCTGGATGTATATTATTAATGGTAGACTCTTCTAATGAACTACTTTCTGTATGAGATAAATTATTCATCATTTTAGTTAATACTGCAGTACAAGATTCTCTTGGTATTTCTGTAGTTTGATTATTCTCAGAAGTTTTTCCCATATTGCATGTATTTTTTGTTTCACATTTTTGTTTTAAAACCTCATTAGATGTCATCAATTTAAATTGTCTCAACATTGAATGAAAACGATTGCTATAATGTTCAAACATGTGATATCGTTTTCCAAACATAAGTGTTTTACAAATTTTACAACGGTGATCTGTGCAAAAATCTTTAGAAGATTTGATATGTTTTTTACTATTAATATGCATTTTCCATACATCTAATTTTACACATAAATAATCACATATGAAACAGAAAAACCCAATATTTAAAGTTGAGTTATACAAATTTTGATCAGTAACAAAGTTAAATAAATGAGTATCAAGTTTCAAAGGTTTAAGAAGAGCCTTAATTTTAGTTTTTCTATTGTCTGAACTCATAATTATATGTTCTGCAGTTAACTTGTGACATTCATAAACTGTAATTGAAGAGTAGAATTCAACTTTACAATCCTTACAGTAAAATAATTCTACAATATCTGATGCTGTTGATGCATGACTATCTGCTTTAAAATGATGACGATTTTCACTTGACTTAAATATTAGATTACATGGTTCACAAAAGCACATTATATGAGAAAGTTTATCAGCATTTTCATTTCTCATAATCCATTGGTTTGCTAGTAACTCTGATTCTAATGGCATGCTTATAAATGTTGTCTTGTGTTCAGTAAGTAAATGTAATTCAATGTCTTCAATTTTACCATAAACTAAAGAGTTACAACTTTTACAAATATAAGAATAACAAATATAGGTACCTAATTTTGCATGTGTAGTTGCATGTTTTATCCAATTATCCTTATTGTTAGAACAAAATGCACACTCTAAACATTGAAAATAATTTAAATTTGGTTGAGGGATACTTTGTACTAATCCATGGTTACAAACTAACAAGTGACTAAGGAGATCATTGTGATTTAAATTGATTAGATTATCACATGATTTACACATAGTATTATTTTCATTTTTTACATTTTGAAAAAATTGTAAATATGGTTTAACATCAAATGGAACATTATTTTTATCTAAATGACTTTTTGGAACACATGGTTTTTGGTTTTGATTAATTAATGATTGTGTTTTAAGTTCTGGAAATATATTTTTAGAGACCACAGATTTTAAAATTATGTGTTCACTTGATATCATGTGTTTATTGAATAACACATTATCTTCAATACAAAAGAATTCTGTACGGCAAGGTTGACAGACTATACGTTTTAATTTAGTTTTATGACTTTTATTCCAATGATCTGAATTAGAATTAACTTCAGCATACGTTTCACATTCTTCACAATAATAAAAATCTTTGGTTTTTAAATTTTTGTTAATACGTTGGAAGTTAAAAGCCAAAAATCTGGAAAGATTTTTCTCAGAATTGTTCGGATGAATATTTTGATGGTTTGTTACATGATGTACAACTCCATAACAATGTAATGCGCAAAGTTCACATGTATAAGAAACTAAATCTTTAATATGAAAACACTTAATTAAATGACTTGATAACATTAAATGGGACTTCCATTGAGTAAAATCGAGTACGCTTATATTGCAGACTTCACAAAAATAAGTTTTGATGTTTAATGTATTTTTTCTATCAACATCAGATTTGTTGATACATTCAGTAAGATGAACAGTTATTGCTTTTTCATTGGCCTCCATTTGAAACTTACAATCATTACAAGTAGATTTTATAGTATCAACAGAAAATTTATTTAAAATTATTGGAGGCAGTTTTAAATAAAATATAGTTTCCAAATTTTCGCCAAGTTTTTTGGATTGAAAATATTCCAACATGATATGTTCGCATGACATTAAATGTTTATTATAAACTTCTTGACTACATACAAAATCTATTAAACATGAATCGCATTTTAAATGAATCGTTTTTTTATACATATGATTAATAGAATAACATTTAATTTTGGAAAATGAATAACTTTTACAAGGACCACAAAAAGACCAAGATTTCCATTTCATTGGACTTATAACTATGCAATAATGAAATACATCTTTCATACATTTAAAAACACACGGTAGTCCAGATATATCATTATGAATATCTTTACAATGTTGTAAAATCTGTTCCTTACTTCCAAAAAAAAATATTTTACAGCCACCACAATCGTATGAAACATAATCATTTTTGTTTAAACATTTTTCTATATGAAGTGTACTTAAAGTGTGTGACTCCCAATCTTTTAACAATTTTATTTTAGTGTCACAAATAAAACAATGAAAATTTGTTTCTATTGACTTTTTACAATTAATAGTATGCTCGGTTGATTTTAATATTTCAAATCTAGTAAGTTTATTATTTGTAGATTGAATTTGACCTTTATTTTTGAGAAGCTCATGATTATTCTTTAAGCTGGCTTTGGTTATCTCATTTGTATTAGATTGTTTATCAGAATCCATACCAAAATTAATTTCTAATGGACTATCACATTTTAAAATTTTAGATGGACCTGATTCAACAGTTAAATGTTCTTTAATCTGGTTAATATTTTCAATATCAGAGTTAGATATATTATTTGAACTTGAATTAACATGTTCATGAGAAGATGTAGAAGGATCAATTTTTAAATCACTATTGGTCATATTTAATTGCATGTCTTGATCATCAATTGATTTTAAAGTTACCTGACTGTGAATAATGTTATTTGAAACAAATATTTGTTTTTTGTGTGTGTTTTCACTAAGATGATCGGCTTCATTTTCCTGTTCCATCTGTTTAAATTGTTTCAACTAAAACAAAAATAAAAAATTACAAATATAAACTATAGTGTACAACATATTATTAATAAAAGTCAATTGTCAATAATTAATATATATTTGTCATTGTAACAATAATTATAATTTACAACAAAACATTATTTTTAAACATCATACCACATTGGTAAAAAACATAAAGAAATTAAAACAGCTAAAATTTATTTTATAATCAGTATGTGTATTTCAAGAAATGTTAAACTATGGTGTAAGCCAACTTGTATTATTGAAAACAGAATAGTATTAATGAGTCAAAAATAAAATATAACTATATAATTAGCTATAATATACCATTATAAATATTTATGGTATTTTTATTTTCATTAAGTTTAATATTTTAAATACCAATAAAAAAATGTTTGATTAAAAACTAGAAAATTAAAATTATTGAAGAAAAATTTGTTCAGATAAACTTTTTTCTAAACAGAATAAAAACCTTTCCACTAAAATTGAAAATAAACAAATTCCACTATACTAATAAACAAAATACCTTGATATCACTCTGGATAAAAAATAAACACTATTAAATAATACTAAACAAACACAACTCAACTTTTGACTCCATTTACTTTGGCCTATACTAACATGAGTTTTAAAAATAAGTTACTTATATACAAATTTTAGGTTTTCTTTACATTAAATCCTGAGGCCTGATTCACACGTATTTGATAGCTTGACTTAAATCACAGTAGATTTTTCTTAGTGAATGATTATAATGACCAATCAGAATATAAATGAGAATATTACTGTTAACTTAGATTAATAATAAATATATATAAAAAACAGTAATAACAATTAAATATTAATGCAAATATCACTGATATATTATTTACTTTTAATACAATTATATTATCTGATATAAAACTTTTATTACCCAAACTAATCATTGTATAGTTCACAATGGCTAAACATATACATTACTTAACATAAAGATAAGAAATTATTGTTTATACCTATCATTATAAACAAAATTTAACTTGTAACTAATTAGTATTATGCGTTTTAGCCTAATAGTAACTAGTATACTATGTAACTAGAATCAGTTATATGCAATAAACTAATAAGTATAAAAGCAATAATGATTAATACTGGAATGAAGTGTACTGATATACAATATTACCTAAACAATTGAACACCAAATATCGGTTAAAATCATTGTATCTTGAAAATGTAATGAGTTTTTAAAATAAAAACACAAAAATTTCAAAAATATTATAATAAAAAACGATTTTTATCTCGTACGCCGATGAACATAATTTTAACTTAAGTAAACCGTATCATGACGAACAATAATTTGAGTAACTGTAGTAATGCAATAATGCACTAATTATCGGCGATTGTCTATCAACTATCAAGCATAAAAATAATAATCGTGATAAATGTTTAATACTTACGAGATATTTTATTTTGTTGGTTATAGTAGTGAGTGCTGATCAATCATAACAATTCATTAATATCCATTATCCAATAAGAATAAAAATTATTTTAATTGAATGTATTTTAATATTTTATTACTTTAAAATATAAGGAATACTTGTAATCGTACACATTTTGTATATTATTATTATTATTTGACTTTTGTATTTTGTTTTTGTAGTTTAGAGTGTTTAGACTCATTAATTAGTATGTTTAAGTAATCGAGAGTCGAACCATGATTGGAAGTGGAACTGAATAATCAACCTTGGTTCTGGTTAATGTTCTGCAATCAATGGTTCTGGTCATTAAAATATATTATTCTGGTCATTGTTATCAAGTTATCTATACAAATCTTTTTACCAGCAGTACTGATATTCCAACAGGTATTATAAGTCTGTGCTCCATTAGAATTTAGAAGTTTAGAACCCGTGTTAAACTCAAAAAGACAAAAGTGTCCTTTCCGCCTTCCGGTTATTCTGTGACAATACGCCTTCACTCACAATTTGTCCCACAAAACAATGACAAGACAACACTGAAAATAAATTGGGATCCACACTATCCACAGATATATTATATATTAATATTAATATATATTATATTTACATCTGTATTCGGATCACAACTACAAAGTACAGATTATTATGGTTGCGTGATGATTCGTAATTAAAATAATTAAATGTCCATGAAAAATTGAAAAGTACAAAAATATATAATACCACAAATTATAATAAACATTAATTATTACGCATATTATCTGTAATGAAAAGTTCTTCAATTTCTAATACCACCTAGCACAATCTAGTTTTGTAGTTCAACAAATTAATCATATTCAGGTTTTAAGGAATTCAAGCACTTTTTACATTTAGTGTACTTAATTATATTTTTACTTGTATACCTAATATTATAGTAAAATTATTAAAAAATAAAATATATTTAAATAAATTACATATTATAACAGTATTTTTTACTCAGCTAAAAAATATACAACTTACTCAAAAATGTTGAGAAATTATCAAAATCATTATGCTCTTGAAAAACATTGTAAAAATCCCAAATACATTCTTCAATCATGCCATAAATTTTATCTTTTAATTTACTTATTTTAAAGTCTAATATATTGACCTTATTTATTAATTATTTCTTTCACATCACTGATTATTAAAACAGGATTGTTTTCTTTGAAAGTAAGTTGAATTCAATTATATGTTAGGTAATATAATATCTTTATGATGATACTTAAAAATTAAATAACTAAAATTGTTACTCTTTGTTCAAATAATTTTCAAAAATTAACTGAGAATACCTAAAAAAGATAAATTTGCATTTATAAGATATGATCAAAAAGTAACGAGAGTTTTTGTATAATGCATTTAATATTTTATTTAAAGTTTGCTGATTTTGGTTAACTTACTATCGATAAGATTATTAATATATATTTAATGTTGTGGCCTAATCAGATAATAGTTTGTGATTGACGGGCACATGTTGACGATTTATACTGGAATTTTGTATGATTTTTGTATTTTAAAAATGAAGAAATAACAAATTTGTATTATGTTTTAAAAAAAAATTAATTTAAAACTACAACAAAGATTAAAAATTGTTTGAGGAGAAATATAGTTATTTTACAGGTAAATATCCGATGTAGTAAAATTTAAAATTCAAAGATCCTTTAATAATTTAATGTGATTGAACACATTTTTTTACAAAGTAAACAATTTTTATTGCTTTTTACAGAAAAAAAAAATCAAAAATAGTAAACATATTTTACATTTAAAACCAGATCAAGCCTGTATGAGTATTTCGTCAGGAAAATTAATTATTTAGTAGTCTCTAACTTGTTATTATTAACTATTAAACAATACAATACCTTTACAATATGACAATATCAAAAAATTTTATGATAATTATAAATGGTTCACATGAATGCATGTTTAATTGGTGGGTATTATTATAAATAACATTCTATTTATTTATTATAAGACATGAAAATACTTAAATATCTAAACTTACTGTATGAATATTTGATACATCAAAACACCTTGCTTATATTTTTGTATAACTAATTAAATAATAATATGATCAGTAGCTTATTTACATGGACAGATGACATAAATCTTAGATATATCATGGCCTATTTGTTTTTTATATTCTAAACTCTTACTTCTAGGCTCATGTAATACATTTAGTAATTTTATTATATTAATAATTTTTGTATTCACATCAATGAAAATATGACATCATGAAATATTTATAACTGGTATTCTGGTCCTAACAATTTTTATATTTAAATATTTAACATATTATGTTATTAATACACCACTAAAATGTAATACCATAAGTTCAAACCTAATCATGTTTTTAGTTAAATATAATTTTAATAAGAACATGTCATATGTATTAATTTAGAATTCTTTTAATACTTGGACTACTAAAAATGATTATTGTTTAAAGACAATTAAATAAAGAATTCATTTTTGAATGAGATGATTTCTAAAAAATTGTGGTTTGTAGAAAAATGCTTATTGAAATCATTTGTTTAAAGATATATAACTATTAATTACACACAAAAGCAGTAGCGGCGGGATATAGAATTATTTGAAACAATTGCTTCATGTCTGAAAGCCCTTTGACCACAGCTACTTATTAGGAGTGGCAGTAAAAATATTTAAAATATACAATATATTTCAAAGCCTCCACAATTTTGTGCCGACAATGTACAAAAGTATATGTTTAAGACTCATAGGAGTTAATTTATCAGTCTCACAAAAATAATAAAATATTAATCAACTTAATTTATATAGTGTTATTCTACAAAAATTAAAACTTATATGTGACATTTAAAATGTTTATTTTATATACTATGTAGAAATAATAATATTACTTATTGTAAACATAAATTAATATCAGTACAATTTATTTATTATACCTTTATAAAATGTTAATACATGTATAATATAATTCTGTTAAGTAGGTAATAAAACAGTTTTATATTATTTGTCAAGAAATCTTAAATACAATAATTTAATTAGTCAAAAAACTTTAGATACAATTTATTATTAATGGAAGCTTTTGCAATTCACAGTATATGGAAGACATTTTCAATACATTTATACATTTATATCATAATAAAATAGTAAATAATATTTGGTAATTCTCACAATAATATTATTTATAAGTACATTTTATTTTAAGCTCATGAATTCATTTTATTGTTCAGATTATCTTAAATTACTTAAAATCAACTACATGGAGTTTTAAAATATAAGTTTTTAACTAAAAATACAGGGCTATGAAATTTATTGTCCTTCAAATTATATAATAATAATAACTATTTTTATAAACTATTGTAATATATAAATTAATATATTAAAAGTAATTATCCAACTTTATTGATGGTACCAAATATTGTTACTTCTGGGTTTTGAATATCACTCAAGCTTTGAATTAATTTTAATTCTTTACTGTTTATTGGATTCTTTGAACTATTTTCATTCACATCTATTTTTAAATAAAACAATTATTCACATATTAATAAATGTAAAATAAAAATATTTAGCTTAAACTGTTTTTTAATTTTATAATTACATTTTGTAGTACGTTTTAATACTGCTTGAATAGTTGCAACTGTTTTTTCCATGGAATGTTTCAAGTCATTATTAGTTAAGTTCATCCATATCAATAACAAAGCAGTAAAAAAATCTCCAGTGCCAATAAAAGATTGATCAATGATAGGAATATCTAATTCTACATATTCCTCATCTAATATAAAAATATAAAAATATTAAAATATTACAACATATGCATATAAAATATTGTATAAAATGCCTATACTCCGTTTGTCAAAAAATAAAGTTTCTTTGTGCATACAACTGGTGCTGGGAGTGGGATCTGGGTGAATTAATCAAATATTTTGGTTTATATGCAATCAAATTCTCTCAGCAAATAAAGTACCTATAGGTAAGTAAATGAAAATTACTAATTTGGGGAGAGGCTTGGACGTGTTAAGTAGCCCTGAATTTTTTCTTGGTTATTTAGATTTAGATTGTGCTTATTAATTCATTTTTAATTAAATTAAAATATAATTATTCTACAATTTAAATAGTTAATATTAAATATGTAACTGTTGAATGATTATTGTACGAATTGCAGGTATTTATAACCATAAGAACATGAAAAAAATAGAAGGGCTTCGGTACCACCAGATTTTATATTGAAATTGTGCCACTGGTATTCTATAAATTTAATAATATTCATAACCATAGGCGAAACTAGAGAATTTTATTAATCCGGGCAAATTCTGAAACATATTTAAAAAATTTGGGAGGAGAGATGAAAAATTCTTAAATTCTTGTATTCTTTTTTTTTTTTAAACTCATTTATTGTATTTGTATACACTGTTATATATTTTTGTTGAGTATTTATAATTTTTTAATTTAAAAATAAAAATAATAAATATTCATAAAACTAGATCATGTGGAACTATTTTTTAAGATTTTTTGATTACTTCATCGGTATCGATATTTTTTGCCATAGTATACCTTAATATAAGGAAGTATTAAATTGTCCAAACTTTTCTGTGCCATAGTGGTAAGAAACTTAGTCTAAACATGTATATATATTACCTATAGTTTAAAGGCTATACCTATAATGCATTATTATAATCGAGATAATTTAAGATAAGTGAAAAGAATAGCAAAATAACAATAAAACATTTTAATATTATAGAAGTGTTGCGTGTAATGCTACATTTTCAAAAAATAAATACTATGTTCAGAGTCTTAGATGCTTCTGATAATAATTTTAGCTAAATTATAATTGATTATTGTTTTACTAAGAAATAAATCACAATATTTTGAATTTTTTTACTTATTTTTAACACATATTTATTTTTTTGTATATATGATAATATCATGTATTATCATTATTACATATTAAATATTATGTTAATTTGATATATTAAATATACTGTAAATATTAGCACAAGGTGAGATTTGCCTGGGCCAAGGCCTAATTGACCCAAGCTGTAATTTCGGCTATGTTCATAAATAAAAATTTTAAAATGAGTTATGAAAAGTATGTAAGGAGAATGTTTTGTTATGCTTAAGACTGTTATATATATTATACACTTAATATAAACTGAAATTTCATCAAAATATTAAACTAGATATTATAAATTATAATAGCAAATTGTGAATTTTCCTTTATAAAAATTCTATCAAGTGCTTATAAAGCTATTTTACTAATGTCCATGTACCAACTACCAATATATAGGCATAATTTTTATCCTAGTAAAATTTCAAATTTATAGGACATTGTGCAACTTTTAGAAGACTCGAATCTATTTAAATATATTTTCTACAAAAAATATCTATACTTATCTATCAAAATATTTGATTAAAAACAATATACAAATTTATATATCTAGCTCAATTGAGGAAATAAAAAGTAAATTTATATATTAATACTTACGAAAAAAGTTTCTTCCAATACACTTCATAACAGAATTTGAAGATATGTTGGAAGATGACACAACAACTGTCTTACAACCATGAGTATATAATATATTCAAAGCCTTATTTATGTCATTATGTGTTGTTATAGTTATACCAGTTAATAACCTAATGGAAAAAAAACACATCCAAAATATATTAAGTACAATTAAAAAAATATTTATTAATAAATATAATTTTACTCACTCTAATTCGTATTCATTCGGTGTAAGAATATCTGTCAAATGTATGATTTCATTTTTATAGATATCTAATATTTCTTTTGGAACATACATTTTTTTATTGTCTCCCATTACAGGATCACATACTTCAAAATATAAATATCAAATTATTACACTATACATGTATAGGTAATCGAAAAATTGTTCTTAAATTTGTATTTATATTTTATAGTTGACAATTTCTTTAATTAGAGAAAAAAAAATAATAAGCAATAAAAGGTATTTGAGTAAAATATTTCCAACTAAAAAAAAAATATTATTTGAATAATTAAAAAGAGAGTGAAAGTTCAATACTGATGTAAAATATTAGCAAACTTTCATGCATATTTTAATGTATAAATAAAATATGGTAGAATAAAAAGTAAATTTGAATTTTTAAATGAAAACAGTCAATAATTTTACCATTTTCTACTTTATTCAGAATAATAGTGTACCATTTAAAAAATAATTGTTGTGTCTTTATATTTTTATATGAAAAAAAAAATAATTTTCATTTAACCTGAATAGAGTAATAATAAAGTAATAGATAATGTAGAAACATTACCTAATTAATTTTTATAATATGATGTATGACTTCATTCAGTCAATTCAATTACCAATAATTAAGTATTTAATCTTGAGGGAAAAATATATTTCTAAAAGAAATTTAATATTTTGCAGACTTTGTATAGGATCTTTTATAGTCACTACAACTATAAAGATTCCATAAAACCATGTTTTATTCAAAAATAGAGAATATAATTTTAAAACCTTTATTGAAATCCTAGAAAAATATTACCTAAATAACTTAAATAATAAATTAAAATTAGTTTTTTACTATAAATAGAATGTTTTCTCTATCAATACTAAATGCATTAAAACTATAATATAATATAGCAACATAAGCACAACTAAAAAGGATTAGTGGATGTGGCTGCCTCTGTGCCAAAGTACTATAATATTTTTCTTTTAATAATTTTTTATATTATTTTTTTTTTTTTTTGTAAGAAATTCAAATAATAATAATATAATTTTGAATTAATAAAATACAATAATAATTTTGAAAAATATATAAAATAATTTTAGTAAGATAAATGCATCCATTCTCAGGTTTCCCAAAAAATGTCCGGATAAAGGAGGCCATTGAAAATATTTTTTATAAAGTTACACGACTGTATAGCATCATTTGTTTTACATTTTTTTTTAAATACAAACATTACATTTCAGTTAAAATAATATTATGTTTCAAAACAAAATACATACCATATATTAAATCTGGATTTTTCTCTTTCAGTATTTTATAGACTTCCGCAACTTTTTTTAAGAACATAGGACATCTAATGTAACCAGTTAATAGATGTGAATAATTATGCAATTCATTTTCAACAAGACCAGTTATTAATTCCGCTAAAAAATAATAAAGTTTAATTTATAAATTTAAATAAATCTAGAAATGTATAGTATATTAGTATCTATAATAAATAAACAACTTACATAAATTACTTTCATTCAATATTTGGCCATAGTAGGTTTTATATCCAGTATGGTTTGATAACTGAACAGAATTTATAGCATCCACTTCAAATCCCATTATCTGTGATAAAAGTAGGATACTTATTTTTAATGTTCTAAATATAAATATAAATTGTTATTACCTGTAATGGAAACACGGCGCATTTATTACCCACGTAACCACTAACAACATGACTTTGAATGGAAAGTACTCTTTTATTAGATTCCATAATACTTCAAAATTGATTATCTAAATAAAAGAAATTAAATTTGAGAAATAAATATTTTATAAAGTGCATAGTAATTTAATATATATCTAACAATTAAATGTATGATGCAGGTGTCGCACAGTAATTTTATTCGTGAAAAAATAGTTATTATACTATTACTTAAAAGCACAATATATCAGCTAAACTGATTATTTGAAATAGGTAAGTATTATGAATTAACCTACCTACATAATTATATTTACTATTTGTTTAGTTTATGGTCGGCCAAACAGTTTACCCCACCACTCAAATTTAATGTACCTACGTCAATATCTCAAAAATCTAATTATTAGTTTGTAGTATAAAATGTATAAAAAAAAATTGTTATTATACCTAAGATTTGAAAATTAAATATAAAGTTCGTTATAAGTTTTTCAACCTATATCTATAAAAAATTTTGTTATCGATTCGATAACGGGAACTGTTTCTGGTTAATTATTATTTATTACAACACAACAGTACCTACTTACTTTCCTAATTTTTTTTTTTCATTTTCTCGATTATTTTAAAATATACTATTATTACTATTATGTACTATTATACTATTATACTTCATACTATTTTTAACTTTATAAAGTACCAACTAAATCCAATTTGTTAACAGATACCACACTCAAAATTCAAAGTTGTATATCAAAATTCAAACCATTTTATCAATTATTACTTGTCGTCTTTATTGTATACCTACCGGTTACCGTATTAATTTATTTTGTGACGGTATATAGAAAAAAAAAAGAAAAATCACGCATTGTAAAATCAATACATTCATCGCTCCGCTCAGAAAATTAATACAGTTGTTTTAAAACTATTAAATTATATTTTTTATTTGTATATGTTGTTATGCTATTTATGTATACAAAAAGATTGTTTGTCATAGTTCCGCTTGGGTGAATGAAAACTTTATAGCCCCGTTACTCAGATTTTTTATCTCTCCGTCATCTACAATAATAAATAAATCTAAAAATATAAAATAATGAATTTATGTTCAAAAAACGTATAAAAATGTTTAGGCTTTACGTGATTTCTAAAAGTCTGCTACATTTTTTCAATTTTTTCAAAATTTCAAATGGATCCCTATTATTTAGTTTTGATCGCCACACAAATTCTGCTATGTACTAACTTAAACAATTTTTCTATCTGTTCCTCTACTTTTTTTTTTTCCCAATTTGGCCGAATCTCACATTCTCTCAACATTTTGAGTGTAGGCTCCTGAGTTAGAGTCTACGAAAATGTATCCACAATTAACTTGATTATGTTGAAATTCGTATTTTTACAAATTAGCGTAAGCTTTCTAGCTGTCAGAAAAATTATAGAATCATATCTATTGTTTAATTTATTGATTAATGATATGTGTATCAATGTTATTTTTGATCGTTTTGGCAAACTATAACTATGAAATATTCTTTTGTTTCACGATATACACCACTGAACGTCTGAACAGCCATTGTTGAGGAAATAATATACGTCCTACATTATTTTTCAGCTACAAAAAAACTTTTATCTAATCCAATTATTAAATCTGGACCATACCTACTTGAGTAGGTACTTGATGATTGTTGCCTACATGCATCAAACACAAACTTCTCGTAAATAGTTATTCTAATCGACTACCACATTTTTTTTAATACTTAATTCACATTTACTATCACTGAAGTAAGTTCATAAGCCTAAGAGTATATGAAATATACAATACTATTTATCAGTAATCTGGAATCATTCAGCTAATTATTAACTCTAATACTTTTTTCTTTACGACAATCCCTTCATTAACATCCCCATCTCAACACTTCAATCATCTAAAAACATTTCGTACCCATTTTCACTCGTAAATTGTAATTGTCATTTCTATAATATTTTTAAAATGAAGAAATTGAATTCTACTATTTATAATTTCACTTGTGAATACATTTTCTAAATTAATTTTAACAATATATAAAATAATGACAAATAATAATTGAATTATGACAAACTAAAACGTAGAGTGGTGTTTTGACCTAATGGTACGTTCTCCCTTCGAATTATTAAATTATTTACACGATACAACAAATAAGTTTTACAGGGCAGCTTTCCCATGGGCGAATAACCTAAAATAACATATTGTTTAGGCAAATATACGTTTTCCTACCCATTTTTAAAGACTTAGAACTTTCAGTTAACACTTTCTGGTATGATTAAAAATGTATTATATTATATTTATTATCTTAACTAAAATTTTTTATTAGTATGGTATTTCATACCCATTTGTTGAATATAATTTTTATTAAATATCTAGTTTGATATTCTTCTCGTGATTTAAATGCATATTTGTAAATTGGTTTTGATACTTTAAAATAGTTATCACTAGAAACCGGATTTATAAAATATGCTTAAAAAATGCTGTAATATGCTACAACTTATACATTTATTATGCACTAAAAATTGAATCGAAAATATTTTATTTAAAATTTTGTTAAAAAGTAAGTATTAATTAATTAGGTATTGAAAAAGGTATAAAAAAATTTTAAAAGTGTAAAAAAATTTTCGTCATTTTTACCATTTAACATTTTTTATATTTAATCCATAAAATATTAGCCTACATTAATATGAAATTAAAACAAAAATTGATCTATATTAATATGTATATTATATATATGTACTCCTAAGTTGCTTAATATGAGTATGTCATCTTATCTTTAGCAATAACAACCAGTCGTAATTTTATTGATATATTGTGTGGCTAGAGACGTGAAAATACGATAAAAACAAATATATGTGCTATAAATAATAATATGCACTATGAAAGTATAAAACTATTAAATATGTAGTTAAAGGTAAAATCATTGAAATATGTAAAATATGCTAAATACAATTCGAGTTTGTTTTAATAAAAATGATCTAATTCGGGGAATATTCTCATCAGATTTCAAAAACCTTGTTCCAATACATACATGCATTAGCATATAAATCCGGTACCTAGGAATCCATTATTAGCCGGGATATCGCCCATTTGCGCCAATAAAAAAATTATTCATTTTAAGTACAGCCCATTTGCTCCAAAATTACCCGGTATAATTTATTATAATAAAGTAATATATTTTTTCCTCAAATAATAATCAATACAATTTTATTTAAATTATAGTCAATTGTACGATTTTTTTTTTTCAAATAATAATCAATAATACGTATTTTAATCATTAAGTAAACATAAATCATAACTCATTACTCATTTCTATATTACTCTGTGATAATTTATAGTAGATACCTATACTAGCTGAATTACCTGGCTTCGCTCGTGTTTAGTTTGTGCTTTCTCAAAATTTTACTTAATATTATCAAATGCTAAATAGTAGTAGTAGCTGAATTATAAAAAAAAACAAAAATATAATGATCACTCGTAGGAGAATTTGGTACAATTCAGTGAATATAAAATAGGAAAATGTTGACTAGTGTCGTCACAAAACGAGAACATGTTTAATCACGATATAAACCATAATAATCGGATAAAACAATATTATGTCAATATCACAATTATATAAATTATAATATAATATATAATTGAACATCTTAGTATCTCATTATTATTCTCTATGAAAATTTGCATCTATCATCACTGTAGATTTGAAATTATTCAACCAAAAATGATTAAATAGGATTTCAAAGTTTGAAAAATCTGTTTAAAATTTAACAATAATTTATTAATATCTCCTATTTTCTTACTACCTTGTTCTACGTGACTATATATTAAATTTAATTGCTCTTTAGATACTGCAATTCCTCTCTTCAACTTAAAATTTTAAAATATAAGTAAATATATTTCAGTTTTCAACATGAGTCGGATAATTGATACTTACTATGGTAACATGTTAAATAAATCAAAGTAAAAAAAGAAAAATCTATTTTATTTTATTTTAATTACAGCTTATAATATTTGAGATGATACTGATGATAGTGTAGTGATACTGTGATATCATAATCATTAAATTTATTATTTTATGCTAAATACACAAGAATAGATCACATAACATCACAACAATACAATATCATGAATATTAACATTTACCATTATTTTAAACAAAAAAATCGAAAATTTAAAATTAAATTAATTAAAATTTCAGTGTATTGCATTAGCAGTGTAAATATATGTTTGGTTACACTGACTCAATAACTAAATAAAATTAATTTTAATAGAAAAAAATTTTTTTTTTTACTTGTTACCTTATTTCTACAGATACTCATACTACAATGCTTATTATATTATTTATAAGTTTGTTTACATTGTCTTTCATATTAGAAATGTGTTATATATATACATAAATAAGCTTATCATATTATGTTTAATATTACTTACGTGATAAAATCTAGAGAAGATGACAAATCCCAATTTTTAAAACTTCTACACTCAACACGCGGAATGAAGATATTTATTTTATTTCAGTTTTATGAACTGCTTTACTTCAATGGTCAATGTTGTTTTAATTTTTAAGCGATATCTAATAACGTAACGGATGCCTAATAAATAATAATAATTTACATCAATGATCAAATAGTACGGTAAAAATTTTTTGCTACAATCAAATTGGTCGAGCGTGTAGTTAAAACGAAAAAAACATCTATGTTAAAATAAAATTAATTAATAAATTACACGAATCGAGATAGCAAAATTAAATATACAAAATGGATATCGATCAATAATGTAGATAATGATATAGTTTTTGTCGCCGCTGACTAGTAAATACTTACTGAAATACTGAATACTTTAAATAACGAGTAACATAACAAGAAAAAGAAAACAACCAATAGGCGGTATTTGTGTGAAAATGGACATGCGTACATACGTACCTAGGTATTTAATTTTATCGACTTTTTAACGTCACAAGTCACAACTTATCTACATATTGAATACAATTAATATATTTATATATGTATACACTTATTATAGTTTATATTATTAAAATAAGTATGTACCTAATTATCCAACTATAATATTAGGCTAGGGAAATGGAAGTTGAATATCTCTTCACTTTTGTCATAAGTTAAGGCTATCAACTATCAATTCAAAAACCATACTCGGCAGCCGAGTTGTGCGCATGGGCACCACAATTCGGGCAATTACTATACAGCAGGCGGCCTATGGAACATTGTTGGTTAATTCGGGTGGGGCTGATTCATGTATGTCTGACTGCCGCCCGACCAAAACTGGTCGTTGCCGAGTTGTGTAAAAACTATTATATATGGAGTATACAGAGTGATTCATCAAGCATGCTTACCCTTATTTCTTCATTTAATAACAATTTATTCAAATTATAATTTTTTTTAATTGAAATGTAGCAAAAAGCCATATTTTCATATTATTAAGTATTTTTGTTTTATTTAAGAAGTGCCTTGTGACGATAAAAATTTTTGTTTTTCAAAAAAGAAATCCTTTTTTTTACCATAAATTATTTAATGAATAATTTTTTAGAGAACTATGAGTAACTAATTTAAAATTTAAACAAGTAGTTTTTCAGTTATTAAAATATTTCTTTTTATTATTATAGTCTTTAAAAACAGTTTTATAAAAATATAAAATTAGATTTAGTGTACTATATTATATCTGCGGGAACATTTTTTTAAGTTATGAATATTGATAGATTAATATTAATCACTAAAATGTTCAAATAACTATAGTTTATTTTTTAAACCCATATAATCACGCATCTATATTATTTATTAATCGGTTCGCAAAGTTAAATAACTCAACATTTCTTGTTTGGACTTAGGTTTTAATGCGTCAAAATATTCAAAAAAATTATCTGCTAAATAATTTATACTAAAAAAGGGAGTTTATCATTTAAAAAACATAAGTTTGTATCTTTACAGGATACTTTTTAAAAACACTCATAAAAAAAATAGTCTCAAGAATTTTAACAGTTTTTAAGTAGATACATTTAAAAATTTCAAAAATTAGGTTTTGAAACTGCATTATACAAGAAGAAAAAAAGGGACAAACATGTTTGGTAAATCACTTGATACCTATATTCATTTATTTAATAATGATAATGATCGTGAGACGAGAATTTAATTACTATAAAAGTCTAAGACGTAGTGACATAAGTACCTATACAAGATATCAATATAGTCTTACAAGATTAGCAATCTAAGCTAGAAGAGGACACATAATATATATGTTTTCGATTTGTCATATCAAAACACAAAGTTAAAAACCAAATAAGTAATAATTTACTTAATAAAATGTCGAGTTTAAAACAAAAATTAAATAAACTGTTCATAAATTGTAGGCTCTAAAGACATGGTATATCCATCATACATATTTACTATATATTAAGTGTTTTTATTTTTATTATTTAAAAAATATACTACTATTTTTATAATCAGTCATCACGTTATTTTAAGTTTTTTCTTTTTATGGAATAAAATATTTTTAATATCATATTCTGAAGTAGAAAATTATTTAGAGTATTTCGATATATATAAATCAAATTTTGGACGAGTAGGTAGTTAATGAGTTAAAGGTGTTTAAAAGTTAAGAATGTTTAGATAGACAGGGAGTAATGGACTAAAATGATGTGGTGTACTGTATAAATCTTTATCACTCAACTCATTTAAACTTTAAATAGGTACTTATAAATTATAAATTTATAATAAACTAGTCATAAACTACTCGTCAAAATTTGATTTATACATATCGAAATACTTAGAAAAATTGTTTGATTGAGGAATATTAAATTAAAAATGTATGTTATTGTAAAAAAAAAATAAAATTTGTTTTTTATTTTTTTATTGCTTACAATTTATGCAAAAGAAACATTTTCAAAAAACGTTAATTGTAAAAGAATCATCTGGTGATACTTAGTACCTATACCTACTAAATGCGTTACAATACATCATACATTCTTATACTGTAAGTACCTTTATGAATTTAATTAATTGTGTCAACATATTTAATGTTTTTACAATTCTACAATATTACAATAACCATGTTGAGATAAATATAGGAAATAACTAATAATAAATAGGTTAAGTACTTAATGTCTACGATAACCTCAACTATAGATAACTATAAGTAAGAATACTAAGGTACCTAGGTAAATATCGAATTATAGAATTAAATTATTATATAACTAGGACTCAAAAATTAAAAGAATTATTTTTTTTTATAATATTATTGCAATATGTTGTGCTCTTGACTTATGACAAACCAAACTAAAAATAAATTTACGATTATTTACAATGACCAGTTTCAAAAACGAAAATTTATTATCAAATGTTTGCATTTTGCGTAAAAACAACAATTAAATCTCACTTCTTAAATTTCTCGATGAATTTATTTACACTCTAAATCCCCTTATATAATTATAATTATATACCTCCTTTCCTATCACTATCCTTTCAACAGCTATTACAAAACCTCTACGTCACGAAATTCCTTCAATAAGATTATAGCTAACTTAATTTATTATGTTTGATTTCACTTAATCTCATTTTTAATTAAACAACATCGCTAGCTGAGACTGTTATAAATAATATATCAATTTATAGATTGTACAGTTCTAAATAAAAAATAAAAATATATTTGTTCAAAGCAGCACATTTCTTTTTACTATAGGTACCAATAATTTTCTGTAAATATGTTTATGTGTGATTGTTATAAGATGTCAAAGCATTGTTTTTTTTTCTGACCTACTCACAACATTGACAAAATTTATTCACAATATATAATTTATATAAGCGCTATAAAGTTATTTCATGTCCCCTTCCTCAAGAAAATTCTATAAACGCCCTTGAATATACATAATTACTAATTACTATTAGTAGGGTACCTATGTAACCTACAAAGATGATTATCTATAATCTATATTATTTAAATAAAGACACAGATGACCTATACTTACTTATGTTTATAATTTTATCAAAAACTCACTAGTTTTAAAGTATGGTACGAATCTATTAATAGGCAAAATACAATTTCTTAAATTGTTTAAGGAGTGATATACAAATGTGTATTTCTAAACATAATTTTATGATAACTCTTTTTTTTACTGACTTTGAATATAATCCGTAATCTGTAATAATAAAATAACTTAATTTTGTGATTATTAATTTGACTGTTTTAAAATTAATTATCGGTCCGGTAGGTAACATATTAAACGAATACCAAAATGATTTTGAGTGAATGCGTTTTATATGTTGTACCCTATGGCCTTGTGGGCCTAAACGAGAAAAGGAAATATCCTAATAAAAGCTGACAACACATTTCTTTAAGTGTCTCTAACTATTTACTATTTCGTGTAATTTATAAACTGTCACAAATAATAAATTTTTTTCCAATAAAATATTTGTCTACTCATCTGTAAATACACTTCTCGACTTCCTTTTATAGATAGCGTTTCGAGTTTACATAGGTACATGGGTAGACAGATAATCATCATAATTGATATATTATGTAAAACATAGTCGAGTATTAAAGGCTCAAAGCCAATTACAGCGCAATTAGATTATTGCACTGCATTCATCAAAAACATTAAAAAAAACGAAAATCAATAAATAGTAAATACTTATAGTTCATAAATATCAAATGTAAAATATATTTTAAATTTTTTTACCTTTATATGAAATTATAATCCCCATTTTATTGATTAAATAATATCAAATATAAAAATTAAATTATATTGACATTTTAATTGATTTGATAGTTAATCAATTTGTTAAATTATCATTAACTACCTATAACAATTTTTTATTAAAATTTTGAATGTTTTTTTCATGATTTTAATCATTAGCATAGCTAGTTTATTAAACCAAAACATCATAATAATAATTTGTTTGTAATTATAAAATATAAAATTTCATCACAAAGAAACATAGATTAATTATCTTGTATATTACCTACTTGTCAAGTCAAAAAAGCTAAAAATGATAAATTTTAGTATTTATCTTTTCATTAAAAGATACTAAAAAGGAATATGGAAAATATTATATTTATAGTAAATAAGATGAAAGAATGATTATTTCAACATAGACAACAGATTAAATTAATATTGCTATTAAAAAAGGATATACGGTTGAAGGAATTTATCAATTTTGGCATTTTGAAAAAAAAGTAATATGTTTTATAGAAGATAAAAAAATGTAACATGTTAATTTTTTTTTGTAAAATCAAAATAAGAATTTCCAAAACAAATTATTTAATACTAATATAGTAAAAGTTAATTGTTGCAAATATTGGACAATAGTTTTTTGGATTACTTTTAGGAACAGAAAATTTATTTAATTGTTGGTAGTTATGTTTCAAATAAATTGTTTTTATTTATTTTGATACCAAAAATGAATTCTTGGCTTACATTTTGATTGTTCTACATATTATGTACCATCCAATCCAATTAATAAAAAATTTGAATCACAGATCATACATACAGAAACAAACATTTTGATCTATTATTAAAAATAATTTTTAACACCAATAGCTTATAGACCTAGTAGTTCAATGAAATATACATTTTAAATAAATATAAACTATTATTGGTCATATTTTTTAAAACAATCACTAACAAAGTTAAACATTGTTACAATTATTTAAATAAAAATAAATGTGATTTATATTAATATTTTGAAAATATTTACAAAACAAAATAATCATTTCAATATGTAAGACCATTATTTTTATGTGAAGATTTGTTCTAAATTTTGGGATTCTTTGTGAATAAAACACAATGCTTAAGTGCAAAACAAACAAAACATTTATCGTCTAGAATACAATTAGATATTGAATGACAATTTTTAATTTTGTACTTCTATTCTAGCTATATAACCATTCTTTAACTTGAATCAGCCAATATCATTAAAAATTACTTAAAACTGAGATAACTTAACTAAAAAATATATTATATAATACTATATGTTTGATAAAATTATAAACCTATTTTTTTTATACATTTTCAAAAATGTCTACTCCTATTTAGTAATATGCTTGGATAGCACAAATGTTAAATTTGAAAAAGGTTACCAATAATATTATTTAACACAAAATTGTACGAATAATTTATTAAAAATGTTTATTATAACCATATAAATAATTAAATATTAGATACTGACTGATTCACAAGATCACCATGTTTCTTCATAATAAAATATAATAATTATACAATTTATACAATTTATATGAATAATATTTTAATAATGATTATCATTAGTCATGACTAATGGACAAACGTATTTCATATAAATTAGATATTATATTATTATACAATACATAGTATATATTTTAAATTTAAAATTAATATGATAGTTCTTAGATAATTATTATGACTAATTCTGTATAAGAGATAAATTATTTTATTATAGATATCAAATTGAAATCTTTCATATTTATTATTTTTAAGTATATAATAAATGCAATACTATTTGATACAAGTAAAAAATACAATTTTTCCAATAGTAAATGTTTTATAAAATATTCATTCAAGTATTGTAGAGCAATAAATTTATTTATTTATACATAACATAAATTTCAAAAAATATAGCAAAGTTAATTTTATGATAGTTATTCTATTCACTGAAAAAATATAACATTCTATTCTTATCATTTTTAAACATAACAGATCTATGAGAAAATATACCTCAGAAGCCTTGTTTTTTTAAAAACTATTTAAATTTAAGTCCTAGAATTATTAAACTAAATATACTATTATGGTATTGCATCAATTTTTAATTTAATATCCACAAACCTGAATTCATAAGCTGTAAATATATTATAATTTAAAAAGTGAGTATTATCAATACACAGATATTAAGGTGTATTTAATCAATAGTATTGTAAAAAATTAACTCATTTCCTTCTATGTTTAATATAGTATCAAATTGAATAATTTATTATAAGCTGTTATTTTGTGAGATGTACTAATATGTACAATTTTTAAGAATGGCAACAATAAGAGATCTGTAATATTTAAAAATAAAACTTGAATCAATAATTTTAGGGTTACATAAAAAAAAAAATGAGTCAATTGTTAATATTTTACCACAAACTTTAAAAAACAGTTAATTTATTTAAGACTATAGTATTGGTAATTTTTTTCTACGTTTAAATTAGTATTGACAATATTTAATAAGGATAATCAATAACAATAATGTTAATATATAAATGTATATATGTATATATTTTATAACACAAATGATGCTACACCTTAATAATAATCTATGCCTACACATAAATTAAATTTGTTAACTAAATAAAATTGTTATTATCTATATACATTATACAAAGTACACAAAATTAAAATCAAATTATCAATCAATACTTAGGACTTTATATAATTTAGGTCACAAGTAACCATTATTTAATGATTGTTAAAGATAATTTTTTACACACAAACACACATAGATATATGTATAACATTATTTGTTATTATATAGAAAGTCCAGATTTTTTAAATAAAATTATTCAAGCACAGAGTTATTAGATTATAAACATTGTTTAGTTGTTTATAATTTATATTAATTTAAAAAAACAATTTATTTCTTTTTCACAGCAGTTGTATTACTAGCCGGTCTTCCAGAATTTAATCCAGAATATTGATACTTTGCTTTCTTTTCAGATGGTTTCAAAATCTTAAAGGATAGAATCATATTTCATTAGTTATACAAAAAATAATACAATAAATCAAACCAAATTTTAAACATTTCATTATTAAATCTAGAATAGTAACATTACAATGCATATAAGAACATTTCATCTATATCTGATGTCTCCATCTTATACAAGTATAACATAGAGAATTTACCTGTTTTTAAGATTAGAGATAACAATTCATTCTGTGTTTTGTAGAATATTGCATTAACCTTTAATATACTTAGAAGCAAGTTTAAAATTATTTAAAGAAACTCATCAATTGCTTCAAAATTGAAAATAATAATTAATAAAACACAGAAAATGGGTTTACCTTTAAGTTTGATAATAGGTAAAATTGTAAAAAGTCAACCTAAAACTAATTTAACTAAATGAGAATTTTTTAAGTGTAAATTTACTAGGGTACTTTGCTTGTAGACAGAGACAATACCCGTGGGTAAAAAAGCTTCTCAAAATAAATTAATAATAACATATTAATAAATGAAGGGTTTGTGCACACACCTAAAATACTTTATATATTACATAAAAGAATATTGTTTTATTTAATTTAGTATAAGTGACATGAATTGATAACTTATATTTGAGACCAACAAAAAAAAAATATATATAAGCTAAAGCATAGAAATCCTATCCATAAAAATAATTAATAATCTAAATAATATGAGTTTGATTTTTATCACTAAAATATTAAATATAAAAAATGATAAAGTATAATATTTAAGAAATAAATTAGTATTTTGTTTTATTACTTATAAAAATATAACATTTTATGAAGTTAACCACTTTGGTATGGATCATATACAAATATTTATATAATCATATAGGTAAAAACTTACTTGGAATGAACACATTAGAGTTGCATCAACAGACATCATTCCACCAGCATTATCAAATTCTCCACAATAATTTGGGGCAGAAAACAATGTAACCAATTGTCTTTTGGCAAAAAATTCATAACCATCTTCTACAACCTACAATGTAATTAGTATAAAATGTTGAAAAAAAAAATAAAAAAATGTCAATGAACACTCATTATTAAAAATGAATAATTGTATTTACCTGATGTGCTCTACATATGAGATCTAAGTCATGTCTATTTAAAAATTTTGCTACAACATCTGTACCAAACGTGAAAGAAACACCTCTATCATTTTCTCCCCAACCTGTTACATCTTTGTCAGGATCAGACCATAATAAATCACATAATAAACCTAAAAAATAATAATAATAATAATATAATTTTTATTAAAAAAAAAAAATTGACTTAGTTTCTTCCCTAAGAATTATTAAACATTTAATGTAACATATTTAATATACCTATGAAGAAATACACTAAGTTTAATACGATAAATAAACATATAGTTTATTAAGTTATAAAAAATACTACTCACAATTTTCAAATTTATTATTTGATGCTGTGCTTAATTACCTACAGAAAAAACTAAGTGTAAAATAATATTTTTATATCCCATATACACTAATTTATCTGTAAAACTGAAAATTGTCTATTTAAAAACTGGAGCATTAACTTAAACTATTAAATTATTACACCATATAATTGTTAAATATAGATTGAAATTAAAATGTGTATGCAAGACTGGCACTGTTAGTGAATAGTGATGTTTTAAACATTGTGGAAAGGCAATTAAACAAATAATTGTGTTAATCTTTATTGATCTTTTAATCCTATAAATACATAACTGAAAAATTATAAAATTAAAACAAAGTTGGTAATTCCCAAACATTACAAACTTAAAAAGCATATTCATTTCATCAGAAAATTTGCAATAATTTGTTCCATGAGAGAATATCAATTTTGAACTTACATAATAAACTTAAGTAGTCTGCTGAACTATTTTTTCTCTACCTTATCCAATATCAGGGAGTTTTGATACAAAACAAGAATGTAACACAGAATTGGTAGATAATATTGTTCTTTTATAGAACAAAATATATTTATATGCTTATGAAATAACTAGATAAATAAGACATAAGTAATATCATATTAGACTGAGTGTATTTTGATAAGGTATCTTATTAAATACCCCACACCACCTCTTAACTAAGTAATAGAAAATTTACCAGTATCTGGGACATCAGTTGGACGCATAATACGCCTAATTTGTTCCATTCCTTGTAAATCAGGACTTAGTCCGCCATGACAACAAAATATTTTCTCATCAATAATAGCCGCAATAGGTAAACAATTAAAACAATCAGTAAATGTTTTCCACAATTTTATATTGTAACGTCTTTTACCTATACATATATATTAAATAATTAATTTTGTTTTATAATAAAAATTATCAAAATTATTAACTACAGTTTAAATAACTTTACATTCATCATAAAAACCATAGATCCTGTTTATGCTTGCACATTCATGATTGCCTCGTAAAAGAAAAAAGTTTTCTGGATACTTTATTTTGTATGCTAATAAAAGACATATAGTTTCCAAGGACTGTTTTCCACGATCAACATAATCACCCAAAAATAAATAGTTTGCTTCAGGAGGAAAGCCTCCATACTCAAATAAGCGTAACAAATCAGTATACTGTCCATGTATATCTCCTAATTAACAAAATAAAAATAAAGTGCTTGCAAAAATTTACATAAAATTAAAATTTACCACATATTTTTAAAGGTGCTTCTAAATCTAATAAAATTGGTTGTTGTAAAAATATTTCTCTAGATTTTAAACATAATCCTCGGACTTCTGCTTCAGACATTTGTACTGTTTTACCAGGTCGACATCCTCTTACTACAAATAAAGTACTTTTATGTAAAATTAAACAATCATAATAATACAATACATTTTCACAAGTAAAAAAATCATCATTCAATGTTTTTTAATAAATTATGAAGGCAGGAAATGATAAAATATGATTTTAAATAGCAATTCAAGTCTATTTAAGCTATTCAGTTAAAATATATAAAAATTGTTATTCTAAATTCTAATTTTTAAATAAAATAAAATAATGTTAACTACCACAAATCTCTGGTATGCAATCAATTTAAATTAGATCTATAAGCATAGTCACATATCAATTGGAAACTGAATTTAAATTATCTAATTTTAGTTGATAATTATACAGTTCCTTTTTACATGATACAGTCACCAAATGCTTACTTCATTAGTTTGAGATTTCTTACCAAGTTGTATTGTCGTTTTTGAGAAGGAGCTAATAATAGGAGTATTAACCTTATAAAATAAATACTAGTTTTCTAATTAATATCTACATTCTTTGTCATAAATACAAAAAAATTGAATTTAAACGTCTGATATTATGTATTATACTTATTCGATAATTGTTTAAGTATCAGGAGCATAAATTTAATTTGTTATTAATTTCTAGAAATGAAAATTTAGAGCATAACATTTTTTGTAGACTCTTTATGTATATACATTTTCACCAAGTTAAATATAAACTAAAACCAACGATTTTTTAAATATTATACTTCTAAATACATCATTTACATATTTATCATTTCAATAAATCATATGTGTTATATAATAAATAACATTTTAAGAAGGTATTGGTATTGGTATTCCTGTAATCAATAGCAGTGTATAGTTTAAATTATTTTTAAAAAGTAGAGTCATGAATAATTGGTGAAATATTTATTCAAGTGACTTAATATCAATCGCTTTTCTAATTGACTTTCTGCAATGCTATTTAATTTCAGGTTAGGCACGATGTGTATATATATTAGGGATACCAAAAAAAATGTCTAAAATATGAGTCCCTAGAATCTTTGGATTTCATTGTCAATATGGTCTGTATTTATAGAAAAACTTATTAATTTTGAAAGTCTTAATGATATCAATTTCAAAAAACATGGAAATAATCACATAACCACATAAAAGTAAGCTAATATTATAGTTAATTTGCATAATTTTTATGTTCAAATAATGCCTATTCCTAAACTTTAACTGAATGGGATAAATATTGACTGAACCGATGGTAACTAAAACGTGCTGACACATCTAATGAAAATTATTAACCTACCAGGTTTATTGTAATTAGAATGCCAATTATAGTGTCTTCATATATTATTGTTTACCAATCTTACCTTCTAATAGTCGTGCGATTATGCTGTCTATACTTAATGGTTCACCGTCTGCCATTGTGGACGGAAAACCTTGTATGGATTTCGAATTTAACACGATTTGTTGACAAAATATCTGAATTTGTTTAACGTTTGAATGAATAATGATTTGGTGTATCAATTGAAAATCAGGGGGTCGTACGCCGCCTCAACACGTCCCGTTAACATGTAAATTAATCTTAAATAATGTGTCGGTGTGGGGTCGGTGGGTCGGCTGGAAGGGAAAAATGGCGAACACTTTCTCCCCACCATAAACACAAATAAATTTTTTCTTTTTTGTTAATTTTAAAATTAATTTTGAATTGTATTAAAATTTATATTTTGGACTTAAAAAAAAATTGCAACTCACATAAAATAATATTTTTCCTATTTTTTCAATTAATCGTATTAACACTATTAACCCTGGTATTTGTAGTTCGAGGTTACAGTTTTTTTCATAAATTTTTCGAGGTTATGTCTGTAATCTCAAACCAAATCGTTTGGATTTGTTTGATAAGTAGTGATAATCAATCAATATAACCATGTACCACTCGATAAGTTCGTATTTATTTTATGGTATGAACCTAATCATAGTTATCATACATATTACGCAAACTTCTATGCTTATCACTTTTTAGGAATGGGACTTGGGATATCCAGAATTTCGTCTGCAGTCTGCTATATACTAATGTAATAAATAATAATTTGAGTGAGTAACTATTAACTACTTGAATGTTTTCAGACTTCAGTTTTTTAATTTAGAATTTTTATTACTGTAAATATTAAATTCTTTAAATAATAATTTGAACTACCGTACTTATTATTTATTAACTATATTTTTTTGGTATCCTAAGTCAATTTAGACATTAAATATTACATTAGTTTAAAATAAAAAAAACATTAGGTACCTAAATATTAACTTTTAAATCATGACGTCGATATTGTGTCAAATGATTAACATCAATAAAATGTCAAGAATTAGCTCACTTATTACTTGTAAACAATTTTTAAGTACTAAAGTTGATAATCCAATTCAATCGCATATAGAAAAGTTAGTAAAAGGTAACAAAATTGTTGTCTTCATGAAAGGTGTTCCACAAGCTCCTAGATGTGGCTTTAGTAATGCAGTTGTTGATATTTTAAATATTCACAAAGCCAAATTTGAAGCTCATGATGTACTGATGGATGAAAGTCTTAGAAATGGTAAATATTTACAATAATTGTTTTCAATTAACTTATATTACATATATTATTTGTATGCACTTATGAAAGATTCAATTTTTCTGTCTCCATAATTTAACCATTCTTTATACTATTCCTCCTCTCTAAGTTTATATCTATATAATTATTATTAATTTATATGTGCATTTTATAGGAATAAAAGAATACTCAAATTGGCCTACAATTCCTCAAGTTTTTATAGATGGAGAATTCATTGGTGGTTGTGATATTATGTTGGAATTACATAGGTCAGGTGAACTAGATAAAATACTAGAAAATATCACTCAAGAAAAACCTGTAGCATAAATTGATTAAAGTGCTATGAAATAATTTATGAATAATGTAGTTTCATACTTATTGAATAACCAATAAAAGAGTAAAATAAATTGTTATAAATTAATACACGTATAATTTTAACTAAATGTTTTGTTATATTTTTATGCTGTTGATAAAATATCTTAGTTACATGTATTGTATTAAATAACTGTGTATAAGTAAATTTTTGATTAAATCAAATTTTTTTTTTTTTGTTTTATTTGAAAAATGAATAACCGTAGAGACTAGAAATGTTGAAATGTTCAGCAAATGGCAAATACTTGTATAAGCATTGAAAAAAATGAATATTTTTCATATTAATACTATTTATAAACATTTGAAATTTCCTATCTTTTTTTTTAAATTATTGTATGATTTTTAAGTTAATAAATATAATATACAATATATTTTTGACAAAAATTAATTTAATACTACTATGGTAGAAAGTAAAGTAACAAATAGTTATAAAAACACATTTTAAGATATCTTTAGAAATGAGAATTATGTGTGTTTTTGTTCAGAATCATTATTCATATGCAATTACTTAGATATTTGAATCAAACATATTTGCATATTGAATATAGTGGCCTACTTAAAAACAAGGGAACAAGTTAATCATTTTTTCAGCAAAATGACTACTTGAAGAGTTTATTTTTATTACTTCAAGAAGTAATGTGATCAGTTCTAAATTCATAATTGAAAATTTTATCAAAAAATATTTGAATTTTCTAATTTAAATCAAGTAAATGGTTAGTCCTATAAAACATTTTATATCTAATTAATAAAAATAATTCATTTTAAAATAGTCAAACTGAAAAATAATATATATTGGTCTACATTTTGCCTCAATATTTTGATCCATTTACTTTTACTAAATTAAGTTACTCATTTAATCACTTCCAATTTAATTTCTCCGAGATATTCATTTATTCACAGTGAAAAAATAATCAAAATTAATTTTTCATCTTCAAAAACTTTAACCAATTATTTTTAATTCCGTTTTATATATGAAGTATACTAGTACACGATTCATACAGTAATTACTCAATGAGATAGTGGTAGATTTTTTTTTTTGTTGAAAAGGTATAATGATATTTGCTCCTCCTCCTAGGTATTAAAACAGTTCAAATCTATAAACTTTTTTTTATAAATAATAAATGCAATACATAATTTAACATTAATTTTGTTCTTCAAATTATTTCACAAAAAGATACACTTATTTAATTTGTCTTATTATATGTCTATGACATATTTACATACCTATTGTATTAGTTATGTAATTGAAAATAAATTATAGCACCTTCTTATTTTAACTAAACTAACGTTCTTTATATTGATGGTGAGATTTAACTAACTAAAAAGTTTAATATTTTTTCAATATCAACTTTAAAATTCAATGATTAAAAATCTTATTTGTTAATAATTAACTTATAACTAAACAGTCTTAACATTAACTTAAATAACTTAAGTTTAATTTTTTTTTATTAATTTACTCACTTTTGAATAATATTATTTAAAAATATTGGTACTAGCCGCCTACAATTTATTTTTTAAACCATAAATTGAGTAAAAAGATTTATGCAAAAACAAACAATTAGATATATTTATATAGAATAAAAATATATTATTATTTCCCCATCATGGTTTTTATTTATCAAATGAATCAATTATTTTGCTTCCCAACAGTTTCATACCTAGTTTGTTGGTTTATCTACTGGCTATGAGATATAAAATATAACATGTTTGTAGTTTAATAAATGGTTAGATAAATGTACAGCTAAAAAGCAGTTCAATAAGTTTATAATATTAGTAATATGAAGACAGGTTGATGGTAAACAACAATCTTCAGTATTTTATCACATAATTACTATTATTATTATTTACTTTGGCACCTTTAAAATTAATAACTATTACATTAATTAACATTTTTAAACTAATATATAGGTAGGTACTGAAATTTAAAAACTATTTTCTATTTAATACATGCATAAATAAACTTATTTAATATTAATAATAGTTATATTAATTCAGATTTTACTCATAAATTATTTTTAGTTTATAATAATAAAATAATATAATCAATATTTCAAATAGTTCAAATTATTAAACTTTTTAATGACGACTTAAGATTTTAATAAGTTGAATTTATATAGTGAAAAAATTTTGATCGTATAAAAATAAGATTTTAAAAATTAAGACACTTAAAAATAGTTTTTTTTTTCATAAAAAGTTCATAAATAATATCTAAAAATAAATATTAACAACAATATTTTGACAATTACAACATTAAAACATTAAAAACATAAAAATCATGAAACAAATGTCTACATTAGTATACATTATTTGTTCAAATGGATTATCACCACCAATTTGTTTAAACATACATTTTTAACAATTGCTGACTAGTTTATTAATCTTAAAACTATATCTGTTTTTTTTTCAGGGGGGGGATGATAAACATAAAGGCATTGAGTTCTAATAAATTCATTTTTTAAACAAAATTATGGTTCAATGGATAACAATAAATCATCTCCTTCTAATTTCATTCCAACATTTATTTCAATTTGTTTAACTGTTCCAGCAATAGGTGATTGTACCACCATTTCCATTTTCATTGCAGATAGAACAACTAATGGTGCACCTTTTTCGACCTTATCGCCTACTTTCACACGTATATCCATTACTGATCCAGGCATTGGTGCTCCAACCTGTCCCTTATCAGATTTAGATGCTTTTGGATGTATATGCATCTCCTAAAAAAAAAAAAAGACAACCATTTTATAATAATAATACTCATTACTTCAGATAATTAATTTCATTAAATTAAATACTTTAGAAGCTTCATTGTCTCGTATGAACACAGACCGTAATTGACCATTCATTTCAAAAAATACTTCGATCTCACCATTAGCAGTTAGCTCTTCAGAAATTGCAAGTGTTTTGAAGGCTAAAGTTTTACCTTTTTCAATTGTTACCTAAAAAATTGTACTCGTTATATTAAAATTATCAAAACAATACTTAGTCATATATTTAATTAAGTAACTATTTAAAAATACTAACTTCAAAGTTTTCTCCAACTTTAGGTCCGGTCAAAAATATTCTAGTATCAAGTTTATCTACTGGTCCATACTTTTCCTTGAATGTCAAATATTCATCAGTGACTGTAGGATAAAGGGCTGAACTCATAACATCATAATCAGTGACTTTTTGATATCTTTCTTGTAAATCAGATTTAACTTTGTTAAAATCTAGAGGAGGTAAAGTACATCCAGGACGTCCTTCAATCCGTGGCATGTCTTTCAAAACCTATAATAATTCAATGACTTTTGTAGTTTTAAATTATACAAGTATTTTACTTAATAAAATAAAAGAAAAAGAAATAGATTAAATTTAAAGAGTATAAAAGTAAGTTATTACTTAATTTATATAAAACATCCTGCAATTATAACAATGGGAAAAAATTAAACAAAAATTAAGAAGCGAGTAATTTATTTTTAATTTTTAATTTGGAATTTATACAATCTATACATAAGAAAGATAAAAATACAATAAGCATAATGGATATTTATCTTAATTTAAATTAATGTGGAGTGGTTTGAGTTACTCGGGGTAAGAATCAACCAGTGAAGGCACTTTGGAAAAATAAGAAATAAAAGATTGTAAAAAACAAATAGATTTTTTCTCTTATAGAAATGGAAAAATAACCTTTTCTTGTTAAAGAAAGAATGGGGCGAGTAAAATTGATAAGGATATAGGTGACAATCAAAAACTAATATTATCTTAGATGAGAAATTTTGAATTTATAGTAATACTAAAAGAAGTGTAAAAGTATTAAAGAATTTACAATAATATTATGAGTAGAGGAGTTGGGAATTTCAATAAAATGTTTTTATTTAAACATAAAACAGACATAATAATTGTTTTTGTATAATGTTCAGTAATGAATGAGCTAACTTTATGATAAAATATTTTTTTCTCAAGAAGGCTATTTTACTATTATAAATTTTAGGGATAGCTTTTTTACTTCTGTAGTAAAAATACAATAATATCTAATATAATAATTTAATCATTTACTTTTGATCTCAATGGCTCAGGGAAACCTTGGTATGGTTCACCAATACCACCTTGTAAAAATTCAATAACAGATTTGGGGAAACTCAGTTCTTCGGCCTTTTCTAGTACATCTTTAGCAGTTAATTTGTTTTGTACCATGAATTGAGCAAAATCTCCAACAACTTTTGAAGACGGAGTTACCTAAACATTTATTATTTTGAAAATTAAAAACTAAATACCTATTTTTTAAAAGATAATAAAGTGATATAACTTATACTTTACCTTAATAATATCACCTAGTAAAATATTAGCTTCTCTATAAGCTTTTTTAACATCTTCAAAGAAATCTCCTAATCCAAGTGAATAAGCTTGGAATTGGAGATTGGTATATTGACCACCAGGAATTTCATTTAAATAGACATCAGCATTTCCTGATTTCATTGTTGTTGTACATTCAAATGGTGCATACAAAGTTCTTGCTTGCTCCCAGTAAGCACTATATTCAGAGACCTGTTTTAAGTTCAAACCTGTATCAAGAAATATTTTTTAAGTATTAATGTATTAAATTAAGATTTATTTTATATTTATTATTACCTGTATCTAATTCGGTATCCTGCAATGAAGCAATAACAGCACCCATGCTAGGTTGTGAAGTCATGCCAGACATTGAGTCAACAGCAACATCAACTACATCAGCACCAGCTTGCGCTGCAGCTAACATAGAAGCAACTCCAGCACCACTGGTATCGTGAGTATGAACATGGATAGGTAAATTGGGATATTTAGAACGAATAGCACCAATGAGCATAGTAGCAGCACGAGGTTTTAAAAGTCCTGCCATATCCTGATTAATATAATATCATATTTTTTTATAAATATAATTTATTTAATAATAAAGAGTTAGAATTCTTAAACTCTTCAGTCTTTTAAGCTTTATGAAATTTTTGAAAAATGTTTAGTTTGAATTTAAATAGTTTATAAGCTAAGTTTAAACTTAAATTTAACTTACCTTAATACATAATACATGAGTACCAGCTTTAACTAACTCATCAACAAAATTTATGTAATAATCTAAAGTGTATTTTTTTTTAGTGGGATCAGATACATCTCCAGAATATGCAATAGCTGCTTCAACAACACCTCCTGCTTTAGCAGCTGCTTCCATACCAAGAATGATATTTGGTAAGTAATTAAGAGAGTCAAATACACGGAACACATCCATACCAGCTTGAACAGCTAGATCACAGAATCTAAAAACAAAAATATTTTAGTCAAATCAAGTACTATATATAATTTTAAAAAATATCATACTTAAAGACAACATTATCAGGGTAGTTTGTGTAACCAACTGCATTTGCCCCACGCAATAACATCTGGAATGGTATATTAGGTATAGCTGATCTCATATCTGCTAATCTTTCCCATGGACATTCATGTAAAAATCGAAGCGCAACATCAAATGTGGCTCCACCCCAATTTTCCAATGAATATAACCCTGGGAAACTTTGCGACACCCATGGAGCAATACGTAGAATATCATGAGATCTAAAATGTATATTTATTTAAACAAAAAGTTTTAATGAAATAAAATTAAAATCTGGCTAACCTGACTCTAGTGGCCAAAAGAGATTGATGGGCATCTCTCATTGTTGTGTCCATCAACAAAAGTCCCTTATGGTCTCGAACTGCCTTTGCAAAAGCTTGAGGTCCATCTTTGGTAAGAATTTGTTTAAATCCTTGAGGTGGATTTAAACCTAAAATATATTTTAAAGAAATTATAATATTGATTTCTATACCATATTTCTAAAATTTTAAAATTTTTATATTAGGTATGGTAAAAATATTTGATAAATATGTGGCTTAAAAATATAAACTGAAATAATATTAAAATATAAAACATATTAATTGTTAGTTCTTGTTAATGTATATGGTCTAAGAGTTAATGTTAAATATCCTAAAATTTATGAATACACAGTAATGTTAAAATATTAACTATTAGATAAGTAGTTAAAGTAAGTAGTTTATTATATAAAATCATGAATTACCTGAATTATTTTCTGGATCATTTTTGCCTAATATATGTGCAATGTAATCTAGACAAGCAGAATATGCACAGTGATATGAAAACAATGAGTAAAACAGGTGCATACATTTATAATACAAATAGACTTGTTAAAAGAATATTTCACACATAAGATAGTTAATTATTATAAATTGTATAAGTATTAAGTAAATAATCTGTCTATGTATTTATGAAAGGGTTTAAATTATATACTTAAATAAATGAAACTTGTTCTTTTGTAAACAATGAGAAAATTTATTTTGCCCTCTTGAGTATATGAAACCTAACGTTCTGCATTTAAAACAATTAGACTGTTAAGATTGTTTATAAAATTTATAATTAGTTTAGATATTTGTTTATTACTTTGTAAAGTATACCATTTCTATGATTAACTTTATTTTTAAAAAACCCATGTTTTGAATAATACAAGTATAAACATTAAAAATTAGAGAGAAAAGAAGTAACAAATTAAAAAATATTTTGTTAAATAGTGAGTTTAATGAAAAACTTTTGAATAATTTTTAAAAGATGATATTCTTAAAAGACAATTACAAATATTTTCAAATGTTACCACAATAACAGCTATTATTTTAACAAAAAATATAAACATTCACAAAAAGCTGTAAAATTAATCATGTACTTTTTTTTATATTTTTTAGAAAGTATCAGTTATAAATAGAATTTAAAACTTTTTAAATAACTATTGACTATTGAAAAAAATTAGATTTAATCTTAAGGGTGAATTTAGTATAGAGAAACTATATGGTTTTTATAGTGGTAGAAAAACCCTGAATTAAAAGGCGTATACACACATTAAACATTAAATATCAATAAATGAAATTGAAGAATAATAAATTAAAAACACAGTCTAGAAATTTAATTTAATTTATTCATATGTCACTGAGAAAGTTTGCTTTTAAGACTGTACTAAAATAGAATAATTTTAAAATAATTAAAAAAATATGTGTATCATAACATAATATGATGATAATAATAATAAATACGAGAACATAAAACCATACAAAAACAAAATAGAATAATAAAAATAATAAATAATCACATTAGTCAAACAACTTTTAATAGTATTGTCTGTAGCAGCGTTTTTGTTTTCAGTAGGTTGTTATGTTATAAATACCTAGTTAGTGATTAGTTCTTTAAAAGAACTTTTTTTAGTTTTTCAAAAAGTAAAAGGAAAAACAAGTAAAACAATTTATAATTATAAATAATTGAGCTAACATATTTGGTGTAGTCTTGAAATAATTTATATCATCTATTAGAAAAAATCGTTAAAAATTAAAAAAAATATCCAAATTCACAAACTATATACACGCATTATATACATGCAACACCATAATTATAATTTACATTTTATTAATTAGAGCATAATGATGGTAAAGTAGGTACTAGGTAGTACAGATACTTAAAGCTAATCAATTAATTGTGTTTGAAAAAATAAAATAAATAAAAACATATGTACCTGCAGGGAATTCAGGTACATTGGGGTGTACATTTGCAGGCTTTAAACTGGTTGCTAATGGAGTCTGAGGACCATTTACTAAAACTTCTCCCAAATAGTTAAGTAGTTTTTGAGCTCTATTTTGAGATGGTTCGAGTGTAAATAGTTGAGGATTTTCATCAATAAAATATGTATCAACCGATCCATTTACAAACTTTTCATTAGTTAATACATTTAACAGGAATGGTATATTGGTCTAAATTATAAACAAAACACATTTAACTTGTATATTTGTAAAACTTAATCTAAGAAGAAATAACTATGATATGTTCAATTTACTTTTACTCCTCGAACTCTAAATTCACGTAAAGCACGGTTCATTTTAGCACAAGATGCTTGTAAATCAGCAGCATGAGCAATAACTTTGACAAGTAATGAATCATAGTATGGACTGATTATTGCTCCAGCAAATGCAGAAGCACCATCTAATCGAATACCCATACCTTCACCACTCCTAAATACCTTAATTAATATAATAAGTGTTACTAAAAGTATTTAAAATAATATATTATAGTTTTTCATTTAAATGTCAATAATTAATATTTACTTCAATACGGCCAGTGTCAGGTTGGAAACTTTTAGCAGGATCTTCAGTGGTAACACGACATTGAATAGCAAAACCTTGAGGCTTAATCGAGTCTTGTGTTAATCCAAGTTCAGGCAATGTAACACCTTCCGCAATCCGAATTTGAGATTGTACTAAATCAATACTGTAATGACAAAGTATAAAATATTACCTAAAAAAAATTTAAAAATATATAGTCATCTAGTTTAATTTAATTTTACCCAGTGATTTCTTCAGTAACAGTATGTTCTACTTGAAGTCTAGCATTAACTTCAATAAAATAGAAATTTCCTTTACTATCTGTTAAAAATTCTACAGTACCGGCGTTTGAATAACCTACGTGCTTAGCTAATTTTACAGCACGTTCAGTCATTAAATCTCTCACCTGTTAAATTTAATGCAGTTAGCTATAAAACAAATATTTTTATTTATTAATAGATTTAGGTAAAATAGTTTTACCTTTGGATCCAAATGAGGAGCTGGTGCCAACTCAACAACTTTTTGATGACGACGTTGTACTGAACAATCTCTTTCATATAAATGAACAATATTTCCAGCTTGATCACCTAAAAGTTGAACTTCAATATGTCGTGGTCTTTCAACAAATTTCTCAATGAACATGGCACCATCTCCAAAAGCTGCTTTTGCTTCTGAGCTAGCACGTTCAAAACTTTCTTTTACATCCTAAAATTGTAAGTTATATTAATTGAATCAAATATATATTTTTCTAATAACTTACTTCCATTTTCCGGACCACCCTCATACCTCGGCCACCACCTCCAAAAGCGGCTTTGAAAATAACTGGTAAATCATGTTTCAAACAAAATTCAATAGCTTCATCAGATGTTCTAATTGGACCAGGAGTACCAGCCACAATTGGAACACCAGCGTCAATAGCTGCTTGTCTAGCTGCAACTTTATCACCCATTTGTTGTACAACATGAGGTGTTGGTCCAATGAATCGGATTCCGGCATCTATGACTGCTTGAGCAAAATCAGATCGCTCAGATAGAAAACCATAACCAGGATGAATAGCATCAACATCGTTTTCCTTTTAAATACATTATTTTAATAAACAGTCAAAATAGTAATTTCTTAATTTTAAAACTCGTATAAACAATTTTTTCAACAATGATTTGTTTATGAAGTTTTAAAAATGAGTATATTGTTACTTGTATGTTAATTTACTTTTGCTATTCGAATAATTTCAGGTATGTCAAGGTATGCTTCTACTGGAGCTTTTCCTTTTCCAACTAAATATGATTCATCAGCCTTTAATCTATGCATATGCATTTTATCTTGTTCTGAATATATAGCAACAGACTTGATACCCAATTCATTACATGCTCTGAATACACGTATTGCAATTTCACCTATGTTTATAAGATAACCAAGCCCATGTATAATATATATTTAATAGTACTAATAATAGCATTTCTTTTGAATACTCACCTCGGTTAGCTACAAGAACACTTCTTATTGGTTTGTATTCAACTTTTGATGAATACCTCGCTCGTGATATGGAAAGAGCGATGAACTGGTTTCGAACATGGTTCCGGACGGAACCACTTACATTTGAAATTATCATTATGATCACACAATTAGAATTTTATTATAATCTATAAAAAATAATATAAACATTTAATAAAAATCAATTTAATTAAATTAATTAATAAATATATATTTTTTAACAAATTGTTAACATTCAGTGTTCTAATTAGGAAAAATATAATTTGTTAAATTAGTTGAATTAAAAATTTAAAACCCGTCTTCTAAATGTACAATTATTTATAGTTAAGGAACTTGGTTTCGCAAAATTCTGACCAAGTGCCAAGTCTTGTCAGATTAAGTCTTCTTCAAGAAGTACAAAGAAAATATAATTTATTTTCAACAATGTTTCTCATAAGTAATATAATAAACACGGATGATAAGTATTGTTATAATATAACATAATTGTTGTTTTTAAAAAATCATTAGAGGCTGAAATGCCTGAAGTAGTGAAGTGACCGTAGGTAAATCTTCAATGTTGTTCACTATAAAAAATTAATAATCTGGACAATATCAGATTTAATAGAAATTATAATGCCAACAATATGTTCTAATATTTTTAAATGTTTATAACATGAAATATACACGTCAAATTAGTTATATGCCACATGTAGCCATTCTTTTAGTACCAAATTTGTATTTATATATTTGTATAATTTAGCTTAAGAATTTTAAAAACTAATACATACACCTATTTATATTACAACAATAATACTCATAAAGTCATAAACGACGCAAGGACATATTATACCGTCATAATACTAATTTAAAAACATTTATGCGCATACTATTAAAATCATTGATTTAAATTTTAACTTATGGGCTTATATAGTAAACACTTAACTGTATAGTATATTGTATAAAATCAAAATTAAGAAATGCTCATGCTTAAATTATTTAAATATATCGATTTATTAAAATCAATTGGTTATTATGGTAGGGGCCAGATTTTAATGCTTCAGTAGTCAATAAGTGATAACATACAAACATGCATTAATCAATTAAAAATAGTGCCCCCTCGCCCTCCCCCCACAAACACACACACGCACAGATATATAAACAATCAAACATCACAAAAAAATAATCTCGACAGAATTTAATTTTTCAATAAACAATACATTTATAAATACAGTCGATACAGATAACAGATGAATTATTTTTTTCATCAGGAATATTTCATTTTCACTTTTCTAACTTCATACTGACAAAAAAAAAAAAAAAACATAACTTTTAAAAATGAATTTTTTAAATACTTTTTAACTTCTTAACAAGTAAAATATAATTTTCAAAATGTATTATACTAACTGATAAAGTTTTTTATACCAAGAAAATATAGTATATCAACCCTATAACTGCAATAATATACTAGATTCATAATAAAATCCATGATAATATAGTATAAACAAATATTTTAATAATTATTCCCTGTTATTAAAGTTAAACTAAAATTACAATATCTAAAAATAACAAAAATTTGCTGTTTTTCAAACTAAAATCGTCGTATTTTGCTTAAATATTCAATTTTGTAAAAATTTGAACTCAAATATTTAAAAATAAAATTGTGCATAATATGCATTTAAAAGATATTTACATTTTTGTATCTTATAGAAAACTTAAAAAGAACGTTAAATTTAATTTGAATATCTTATAAATTTTAAATTTTTTGCACATTTTTGTGGTTGTAACAAATTATATTGTTCCTCTTAGAATCTAGTAACATATTATACCTGTATAGGTTTTTTCATTTTTACTTATAAATATTTAAACTTCAATATATATATATTTATCAGAATACCCCACAATCTGTATCCTATTGTTCGTTATAACTAATATATTTATGAATTTAAAATTTTATTTTGTGCATAAATAAAAAATTTGTGCGTATGCATTATCATTTAAAGTAGTGTCAATGTCTATTTGTCTACCCCTTTCAAATTTCAATAATGTTCATGTATTTTTTTAAATGTATTACTTATCATACTTAATATTTATATATAATATATACATATTATAAATATGTTTTCTCAGTAAATAATAATGATGTTAATACATGGTATATATACAATTATAAATAGAGTCTAAAGATAGTAAATTCGAATCAAAATCGACTGCTCTTAAAAGAATCAAAAATTTGAATGTGCAACCAAGTCCTATATTCACACGGGTAGCCTACAATTCAAAAAAAAAAATTAATTAATTAATTAATTAGAAAAAAACTTATTTTAAGAATAAACCTTAAAAACATCCACAACTCATTAGCCATTGCAATCCTATACATCGGTCAATCTTATGGACACACAAAATCATAACAATTATAATACCATCTGTGCGTAAAATATGACAAAGATCATAACTACCGAGTACCGACTACCTATCGGAAAATTATATTAAAGATCGAAACAGCTCTGCTAATTTTAAGAGATGCCCATTCTTTATTATTTAATACCGTGTTAGAGCCATGAAATTTTTACAAATATTTCAACAATACTTCGTATCTCGAAGAAAAAATGTCTAAGCGTCACACTAATACTTTTAATTGAGCAAATCCGTTATATATGTTTCATTACTTATACTTGAGTCATAAGTCTAATAGCGTAGGTAATTAAAATCTTAACATTGAATTAGCATTATTAAAATACCTTTCCCACCAAACATCTACTATAAAATCCATTCTCTATACTATTATAATATGTAATATTCAAATTATTCCATAGTCAATAATAACTACCATATTATGTAACATTGTGATTATCTTATCTTTTTATTTTTTGTATACTGTATAAAAATAATTTGTAATTGTTCAGCTATATAATAATTTTTACATATCATTTAAATAACTAGAATTTATAGCTGATATTTAAATTTAAAAAGATAATATATATAGACCCAATAACTTTAAAATTTTAAGTTTTAAATATAACCCAATATTTAAATATTTTATTTACTCATAAAATAATTATTTTTATTTAATTTAGTAATAACTCTTTATTTCCTGAAACCTAATAAATAACTCCTGTAGTATATATTTTATATATTAAACTGTATTTTTTATTTGTGCAAAGAATATAATGAAATTAAATTGGTTGTAAAGATTTTTTTTGTATTTGAGTACGAAGCCATAACAAATATAACACAATAATATTTGTATTGATGCCATTTTAAAATACAGTTCAATCAATAACACTTTCGAATAAGTGTTAAAAAGTAATAAAATATTTTAAAAATAAAGCGAATTCAAAAATTTAAATTTAAATAAAAATGTTTAAAAATCTTAGCAAACCAATAACAAAAAAAATAAATAAATAAATAAATAAATACAAAAAAGTTTATCAACATTTTAACTATCATATTTTAGTTTTGATAATCATGAAATGCCAATAAACATATTGTATCCAGGCACAGATCCAAAGCAAAGATCTGGGGGGAGGAACAATTTTTTATTGGTACTTGATTCATAGTTTAAAATGTTTGTCATAATAATAGGTATATGTAATCAATGTAATAAATAAATTAATGATTATTTAATATAATATGATATTTATTAATTAAATAATAAAATCTAAACGTCTATTTACATTTTCAATTTTTCGGATATATATATCCACCTTGTATAATATTATATTAAATTATCAGACATATATGTGATTTGAAATATAGTAATATCAGGATCTGTAGAATTATAAAAAAAAAAATTAAGAAATAATATGTCTAGGGAGGAGGGGCTTGACCTTAAGTCCCCCCCTAGATCCGTACCTGATTGTACCTATTATTTTAAGTCAATTCAAAAATCTTTTATATATTTTTTTGTAAAATAACTGCCAAAATAATGTTTTGAAAAAGTATTATTTTACAAACAATAATAATAAGTTCGATATTAGTTCGATATATTATTTGAATAATTTCACATAAAATAATGTAATAGGTAGTTAGGTATGCTTTTTCAAATACTTAAGTAAGAGATAAGAGTAGGTACATAAATATAAATCTCTTATAAATAATTATTATATTTATTACCTGCTCAATAATATAAGTTATAATAAAATAAGTTCATATCATCGAAACAATCAAAATATAGGTACTTTGATAATAAAACTTGCATTGGATTTGAAACGTCATATAGAACTAATAATAGTACTTTTAAATTTATAATTCAATATAATATGTTAAATACAAAATAATATCAATATTACATGAATCTTGAGACTTGAGTACATCAGAACTTGAATATTAACACATGAGTAGTGTATACGAATCTGTATCCAACGCGACTAAATACAGTAAAAACTAACGGTATCTATGTATTTGATAACTTTTATAATATAGTGTTCTATCATTGTATATATAATTGTATGTATATGTGTTATGCATTTACGCTTAAACGGTTGCACTGTTTAAGATGCAATTTATTTTAAATTTTTAAAGCACACCGTGGAGAAGGTTTTAGGTATAAGACAATGGCCACAAAACCTTAAGGTGTGTTAATACTTTCTAGGGGCAATTTTAGAAATGATGATGATTTATTTTTGATAAAAATAGCAATTTTAAAAATAAATTTCCTATGCTATATTTTGATGTTATTTAAGTTTGAACGATTTTCTTAAATACATTCATACAATTTAATTTAATTAATAATTAAAAAATGATTTTAAATTTCAAGTAAAAAATACAAAGTACGAGTATATGTTATGATGCGATACAATACAAAAGATATAAATAGGATAATATACAGTATGTTTCAAAATGATTCATTCAATTTAGTAGATTATAAATATTAATTCTGTAGTTTGTAGTAAACGAAGCATCATTCATCTGAATGGTAGGGTGATAGAATTTTTATCGATTACCGATAATTTGCGATAAACTGCACCTTAGCCGAATGACGTGATTTAATTAGTTGTTATCGAAATGCCGACCGAGCAACAAAAAGTGTCATTAGCCCTGTTTACCGGACCTAACAATCTGTGATTTTTTTTTCTATGGGGTTACTTAAAAAATAGTGTTTAAGTACCTCCCCTTCTAAAAGATCTTGACTAATTGGAAAGTCGCATTATAGACGCCATCAATTTGATAACAGTCTATACATGCTTCAATAGGTTTATGAAGAATTTAAATATCATTTAGATGTATGTCGTGTAAGTAAGGGAAGTCATATAGAACATTTGTAAATATTATACCTAAAAGTTAATGTAATCAACTAACTTATAAAATTTATTCTAATTTAATTAATCAAATTTTACAGTAAATATAATTTTTTGAAGTCGGATAATCATTTTGAAACACTCTATAATACAAATAAAGTCTGTACATAACAGATATTGATTGATTTATTAAGTATTCGTAAAACTATTGCTTAAATATATTATATCTTGATATTAAAAAAATGATATAATTAAGTATATTAATAATTATTAAATAATCATTTCAATCTGAAATTTTTGTTAATATGCATTAACAAAGAATTTAAAAATCTATACCAATAAACTGGCAAAATATACGATAATTAATATCTCATTATTTAATATAATTATGTTCATTAAAAAAAAAAAAAAAAATTATACGAAAAATTGTATATGCTTGTTAAATTATTATACATGAATAATTCGTGGCCTTACTATTGTACCTACTCAAAAATATGTTCAAGGTCACATTGTAAGACATCATCAACATAAATCACATAAACACTTGATAAATTAACTTTAGTAAATAAATATAATTTTTACATAATATAGATTTGTATATTAATTTTTTTAATGTATAGATATTGAATAATGGATATTCGATAACTTTTTACTTATAAGAAAATATAAAAATCATTTTAATATAGTTTCAATAGGAGGTGATAAAAAAGTAGAAAAATTTAGTTGGATCATTTTGAATCCTTAAAAATTAAAATTACAATTAATTTGAGAAACTTACATCACGACTTACCTATATGATATATTATTAAGGTAAACAAATAAGATAACAGTTTTACTGTAAAATACAATAATGAAAAGGAAAAGCGACAAACATTTAATCATGATAAACTGTCTGATCATCAATAAAATAAGTATTGAATATTGAAAAGTCTGTTTTTATGCTCGTGGATCAAAATTACTTTTAATGAAGACTTTTTCAAAACTATGATTCAAAAAATAGTAAAATAATAAATAAGAATATTTTATAGTAAAAATTTATTTTTATCTGTTTCGCGTTACACATATAATCAATTGTAATCTTATTTTAAAATAAATTATACTAAGTATCTTATTTACTATAGTAATTATATCATGCATGCCTAATATGTAGATTTTTAGTTAAGTAAACATCTTACCTTCACAGTTTCACACCATTATACCTACGGTAATATACGGTACGTATTTGTTCTTATTAATTTATCCTCTCTTCTCTCATAGTTATAATTTAAATATTTTACTATGGTATAACTAAGTCAATGACAATATATTATGGTAAGCATTAACATAGCATTATTTTTAGACTATTTTAAGTCTAAGTACAAGAAAATAAAAATAAAATATAAACATAACGAGTGTACATTATTATAATTTTAACAAAATTGTGCACAGTGCAATATAACCAGTATTTAATATGTATAGTAGCCAATTGATATAACTGTATAGTGTATTAAATATGATAAAATTAATACAATTACAAATTGAAGAAAATATAAATTGTGTAATATTATTTATATTTTTAATTAATTAATTTTCTTTTTTTGTACTATTTATAATATGTACAAAATATTGGTTATTCACAATATACCTACAATTTTTGAAATTAAACTATTCATAATTAATTTATACCAATAACTTCAATGTAATATTCATGACTCTACACATCTTTACATTGTTAACACCTAATTATAAATTACATGCGAATGCAAATGCAATATTACATTAACAATAATACATAGCCACATGGGTACCTCCTAGTTAGGCATCTATTTACTTAAGAATTGATAACGTTAGTTACTATACGTGTATGCATACACTCAAAAAATAAGAGCCAATAAATATTAATGCCATAAATAAATCGTAAAATGTATTAGATACGAATGAAATAACCAAAATATAAAATGATTCGGATTTTAGGAATTTGGAATTATTAAGATTTTAAGTCAGCTATCAGAAATCGATTACAAAGTAGATACTTATTAAATACTTAACTTCATCAACACATGCATAAAATAATCAAGAATTAAAACTGAGACAATCTTTTGGTATTATTAATATATAAGTACAAAACATTTTCAAAGGTACTTAAAAAAATTATAAACACACTTCATTTTTATCAAAATAATTTTAATTGCTTAGAAGCAGAACATGTCTATAGTTACGTATTACTTAATACTATAAGAAAATAATAATAACTCATTTTTTTCAATTTATATTTTTTTTTAAATTATAAAGATTTTTAATTTATTGTAAATTAATAATGAATAAGTACTAGTATATTTAATAATATAAAATTAAAAATAAATAGCTATGAATTAAGATTTATTTTTGATATAATATTATATTGTTATACTAACTGGCGACTCATGATGATTAGTATTATCTATATCCATTGATGCTTAAAAATTAGTTATGTTCAAAAAATGAATGATAGGTAAATAGCTAATAATTTGTGAACGTATAGGTAATAATGTATTAAACCTGAACAGCTTCTTGGCAATTAAAGTTACATGAACTAAATGAGGTATAGAGGAAGTTCATTAAAAAAAATTAATAACCAATTGCTAAATAAAGAAAGTAAAATTATAAATGGTTTTTAAATTATTCTATTTACCTATATATAATTAAAAATTTAATAAGACCTCCGTATAATTAATACTACATTACCTACAAGCTATATTATAGTTATTGATAGAAACAAATAATTTTAAAGATTTTGTTATCTATATATTTATATAATTTATTAATAATCGTAATATATTTTCAAGGGCATTTCTAGAAAAGGGCAAGTAAGAGCAGTTTTCATTCTCGCTCAACATTATATTGTTCATATGACCTTACATTATTTCATAAATGTTAAAATTAATATATATACATATAACTACGTATTATATAAAATTTAAATCAAAGAAAACTACTTAATTAAAATAAATTGTCCTATCATCGGAAAATATATATAAGTATATAAAAGGCCTTGAAAAGATGTTTTTAATTAGTTTTGAGGTTTTGACATAAATATTACATAATAAAATTAAACGAAGTTTAATAAAAAAGTTTTTATAAAATAATTTAATAACGGAAACTAAGTTGATTAAAGCAAAAATATGTAAAGGTTAGCAACTCAAAAATATTCCCTGATTTTTACTTTAATTACTTCTTGTATTTAAATTCTTCTTCAATGTGTTTGATTTAAACTATTGACAGTTATTAAAATATTAACTTATAACAGTTATTATTTTTAAAAATGATTAAGTAAACTATATATATTTACAATAAAATATTTTAATTTAAAATAGTAGAATTACTTAATTTGAAATGCGACGTTTTTTTGAGAATATTATATCCATATTAATTTATAAATGGTTTAAATTTAATAGAAAAATTATTTTACCGTAACACTGCTTAATGATTTTCAAAATATATAATAATAGCAAACCTAATAACAATAAGTTAGGTAATGTAAATTAATCTTTATACCTTATAGGCTATACCTACATATTATATATAAAAATATTTTTAGTTAAAATATACAACTTAATATTATAATAATTTGTTTATAGTTTAATACCCTTTCATTAATGAAAAACAAATAAATAATAATAGGTTTTTACAAATCATTGCAAAAACCAAACTATGAAAAATTGAATTTACATAACGTAAGTAATAAACATATTTCAATTTAAATATGTAAAAGAACCATTCAACAATTTTTAATACATTTTTAAATATTAAAAATTATGAATAATATTAAAATATTCGATAATTCAAAAAATAAATAAAAACAAAATGCACACCTGACACTTGTTGACCATTCGAAGGATTACGTACCGGATAACAAACTAATAATAAGAAAAATTAAATTACCGCGCTTGTCGATCGTTTGTGACCTATATAACCTCAAAACTCGTTCACCTTGCACAACCTTGCAGCTGTGCGAATGTGTCGACGGTAATCCTGCGCAGTGTACGCTCATGATAATATCACGTCAATAATACGATTACATGTATATTATTATTATTATTTATTTAATATGATTATGCGAGTCGTGTGATACTCTTGACGAAAGTTACTGATATTTTTTAATATGTAGTATCTTGATTATATCGAAACTAAAAGTGTAGGTACTTACAGAAAATATCGATAGAGCTCTTCTTATTATGAGTGAACCAGTACGAAAGACGTCCGTCCACCGACCGAAACTAATGCCTAATGAACCTTCAACAAAACTTATATGTATGTGCTAATATAAAACGATAACGTTCGTTCAATAATTATAATATTCTACTATTCCACTACATGTTTACTATATAGCCGCTGATAACCGATGTTAAATACTATATAGTCCATTATGACAATGACATCACAATCCCCCACCGTGCGTTGAACAATTTAAACAGGACCCTAAGTGTTAAGCTGCACAATTAACTATTGGAATCGGCAGACTTTTAAACTGTGCTGCTATCTAACAAATTATGTTTACTCAAAAAAATTTTTTTAATTTTCGTTTTTCTTAGTATTGCTACATTAAGAGTACTACTATGATATTTAACAATTTTATATTATACAATATGTCTCCAAAGTACTGCATCACCTTAAATATATTTAGTTAATATAAAGATTTCCAATTTTTTTTTTTTAATATTTAGGTAAGTATTCTTAAATCATAATTTGTTTATACGTGTCTTTTGAAAAATGTAGCTAATTTAAATACATAATATATTTATTTTTTACGGAAATACTTTGGGCAATGGTGTCTTATTATGAAGGGGGAGAGTAAATAGAAGCGCTTTTCCCGTCGGACTGTTTTCACTGTAATCTGTAATGTTTCATCGTATTTGATTATTTGATAGGTGAAAGCAATCTACCTGAGTATGATAATATATGAAACCTCCAGTAGTCAGTATTATATTTTAATCCAATCTCCAATTGTTCACCTATATCGACTAGATTTGAGATTTGTCTTAAGGCTATCAAAATTCTTGGCTTTATAAATAAAGCTGCCAAATCTTTTGACAACTTTGTCTCAAAGTTCTTTTTTGCGTATTAGTACGACCCATACTTATTGGAATATGGATCAATTGACAATTATATGGAACCCTGCTACGATCTTGCATAAAGACAAACTCGAAAGAATACAAAGATAATGTATAAGATTTTTAGGATACAAAAAAAATTTAACAATGCACTAAATTACCTTTAATTAAGTCCCTAAAATAAATTTAAAGCTCGATTCTCTCTCAATCCGTCGTACAATATATGATATACTTTCCACTTTCTTATATAAATTAGTTTTATCTTTAATTCGCATGTCTTTTTACGTAGGTATATCAATACAATACCCGCTCATGTCTTACATTTCATATAGGTAAGAACTTACCGCACTAACTATTGACAAAACAATCCACTTGATAGATTCCTAATACTAAGAAATCTATCTAACTTTGATTTCTTTTTTAATTCTCTACTAGACCTAAGATGACACTCTTCAAATATGTAATATAGAAGTAAGATACATAATTTGCCCATTATAATATTTTCTTGTCTCTTGTACTTAAATTTTACTCTAACATTAAGCTTATCTATAATATTATGTTGTTTGTTAAATGTATTATCAATTTGTACTTGATCCTACATGGCATCAACATAACAATAAATAAATAAAAACAATTATCATAATAATTACAACTAAAATTTTATTATGATTCATTAGTGTTTTAAAAATGAATTACCTTAATTACATTACATTGGATAACTGCATGTATATTTTATAATTATTAATTTGAAATAATCACTGATTCGATAGAAACACACTTATATAATGATCTTTCAAATTTTTACTTTTATCAATGTTATTGGAGAATATATTATCATATTCGCTATGTTCAAAGAAAAAAGTTTTATATCCAATAAAATTTAAGTGAAAAAACTATAAGAATATAATAAGTTAGATCAGAGTTTTTTCAGGATTTCATACATTTGTAACAGACTATCAAAACCTGGCCAAGATGTTTGCCCTTGAAATTAGAAACCTATTTTGAAGCTTCTTCAGTTGTTGACCTCAAATAATTACAAACTTTCGCAATGAATAATGATCCTAAGTTTATTTAAAATTTTAGACAATTATTTATAAAAACACTATAGTAAGAGGACAGTAAATCAATTTGTAAGGAGCGGGGGTTTACAATTGTCTATTTATTTATTTAGTAATGTTTACTTTATTACATATTTGAATATATAAGAAATTACATAATTAAACCCCCATAAAATATTTAAATATAGTTGTTATCAATATCATAAAAATTAAATACTACTTTTGTGAAATTAACATATAATATGTGAATAATAGGTACATACAAAACAGGAATAAAGAATATTTAACATGAGTATTAATTAATATTTGTGACACCAAAATTTATTGGTTGTTTTTACATTTAAAAGTATTAAATTATTTTATTTTATTCACTACGAACTTAATTAAATTTAAAGAATGTAGACAAATGGATTTCACTCTACTGTATATTAGGATTGAGTGGGTCCCTATTTGTTTGTGTTTAATTTAAATTTAATGATATACCTACCATTGTATACGAAAAACATTTTTGTGCATAGTTGATCTGAAAGTCCGAGTGAGTGACTATTAAGGATGTGTTAAATTTGAAAATGATATATTAATATTATTGCATGTGAAAAACAGTCCTGAGTGGAGACAATCTGAAAGCCTATATCACAAAATATATTTTATTTTATTTTTTAGATATGAATATCATAGTATATTATTGACATAATGTTTACGAAAATATTGTATTAATTAATATTTAATTATTATAATAATATATACTTTTACTATATTAATTAATTCGTATAACTCACAATTTAATAATATCTTTTTATAAACACCGTTAAACAATAAAAATAGGTTCATAGTATAAATAGATAATAATATCTTAAAATAAATAAAAAATGTTATTACGTTTGATAAAATTTAATATACTTAAAAGTTTCAAGTTCTTACTAATCGTTTTTTATATTAATTTAAAATGTCTACAAAAATTATTTGTTTATATATTTTTTAGATTTTATGATGTTAAGAATCTTTTGTTAAATTTTCAATGCTTCAATATAGAATAAAATAGCTAACAATTTTTTTGTGATTAAAATGAATTTCGTTAAAATTCTAACATTAAATTAAATGCATATAAAAAAAAATGTACATGTATTTTTAATTCTTTTAAAAATGTATAAGAACAAGTTATATATAGAATCTTGTATTATATGTTTAAGAATTTTGACCCATCAAATATTTTTTACTAACATTTATAAAAAAAATTGTGAATTTCTCATAATATTTTATTGACATTTAAAAAATGTTGTGTTTAAAAATAGCTTAAAAAAAAGTTGAAATATTTTAAAAATTGTAATGCTATAGAAAATGATAATACTCGTATAAATAAACAATTGGTGAACATTTTGTGTTAACAGTTATTTATTTTATTATTATTTTTTTTTTTTTGAGTTCACCTAAAAAACAAAATTGTTTTTGTCAAAAATTGAAGTTACGTAAAATTTTTCATTTTTCTTGATTAAAAATAAAAGTACTGTAAATTTTTTACTTTTTAATTCCCTCCCCTCACACACAAAGTACTAACTAGATCTAATTTGCTACCAGAAATTAATAATTACCTCAGCAGTCAGTACTAAAAAAAAAACACATAATTATAAAATCAATACATTTAATATTAATCTAAAAATGGGAATGTTTACATATATCCGGTTTAGCCAAAATAAATTTTTTTTTAATTTTTGATTTAATTTGAAAACAAATGATTTTTGATACTTGAAATGTTCACTAAATGTTTATTTAATAATTTCCCATACTTGATATAATAATAATATATTATCATTCAAAAAAACAAAAGTCTTAAAAATTATATAACAATAAAGTTTTGTTAAAATAAATATTTTACTGCAAATGACATCTAATCGTAATTATGTTAATATATTATTTTAGAGAATTAAAAGTTAGAAAATACAAAACAATGAGTCTAAACACTTAAATGAAATACCTTGTATATAAATACCTCTCCTTAAAAAAATGTCTCTGGATACCCATAATCGAAAGTTTACGTTATAAAACTTCACATTTTAACAGTTGTATCTTAATTGTTTTCATAAGTTTAACAATAACTTTCAATTTTTCTGTTTATAATATTTATGTATGCAATTTATTTTCACAATTAATGTGACTTATTTTGTACTTCATTTTTAATTTTAAATGAAAAAACGTTAAAAATGCATTTTGAATAATTAATTTAAGGCAGTTGTGTGATATTATCATATTTACATGGGTTTATGTGGTGTAGGTATTTATAATTTGTAAAGACTAAAGTTGAATACTTTTTTATTAAATTTAAATATATCTATGGTGTTTATACTCATAGATAAGTTTGCTGTATAAACATGTATCGGTGTGTCGGTCAGACATTCAGTTTATTCCAGTTAATAGAATTTGAGAGAAAATATAAACACTATATCATTAAATAAAAATTAGAAATCTAAAAATTTTACTAAAATATTAAATAACTATAAATTAGTACTAATAAATAATAACGAATCTCCGTATTAAATTATAAATATTTAAATAAAAAATAGAAAAATATATATTTCCGTGCTTACTTATTAGCGTTACATAAAAAAAGTCATTCATCATTCAATATTATGTCTTGATTTTAAATTATCTATATTTAAACCCCATCTAACTCGGAGCGTATATAAGAGAGGGATTTTGTGGTCAGATTTAAATAATAAATTTTTTTATGAAACGTATTGAATTAATGCTGTTTAGAAAATTTTTAAAATTTAGTATTTTTTATAAAAAAATGTAGTTACCAATCTACTTCATCATAATGTACATTGTACATAATTTATAAAAATTGTATTTAAAACTATTTTTTTATATGCTTAAGGTACTGTCAAAAAAACATCTATAAATATCCTAAGACTAAGATTTTTTGTAGTACATAAGTCAGGTTTTATTCCATTAGTTTCCAGTATCACACAAGTTATGCACTATTCATTTATATTGTTTACACTATTTGGTATTATGAGCTATGCAACGATTAAACAGTGGCGTAGCCAATAACCGTAGCCCCCCTCCCCCTCCCACGAAGTAAAAAGATATAATTGGGCTAAGCTTTTTATATCTGATGACTTTTTTTTTTTTGGTAAACCACCGATGTGTAAAAATTGATTAGCCTCCGAAAAAAGAATCCTGGCTTCGCCACTGCGATTACATATACCTATCCTAAATCAATACA